AGTAGCATTGTGGATAAACCATAATAACAACGGGATAAACACGTCAGGCTTTTAATAATGCAAAGGATTTGAAGATGCTGCCATTAACATCACTGTATACTGTTGTTGTAACTCCATAAGCCTGTTGCACAGCGTCTCCTCACTGCTCCAGGTCTGCCCACGGCTCATTGTTGTTGTGTAGCGTTAGCAGCATAGTTAGCAGCTGTGACGCGTGGCTAATTCCTCACAGTTTCTGTCTGCGGCTTGTTAAGCAGACGTTTCCATCACTGTCATATCCTTACAAAACATAAAATCTTAAGCTTTGACAATTTAATTAAACACACAAATCTTTGCTTCCTGTATAAGATCCTGCATGACACCGCTGCTCCTCCACTGAAAAAGAGTTCATCTCTTTAGGCTCAAACATAACAACACGAGCCACGAGATCCACCGAGCGTGGCGAGTGTAGGATCCTCAAACGCAGGACAGCTTTTTCGTCAGTGGAATATGCTACCCACAGAGCACCAATTCCTACGTGTTCTCACGCCTTTTAAAGAAATGGTTATTTTCAAACCAAACTTGCAGTCATGTGTAGCTTGTGTGAGTGTGTGAGAGAGAGGGGGGGGGAAGAGTGTGTGTATGAAGGTTATTTTGTGTTTTTATTATCAACACTTTTTTTTGCTTTTGAATTCTATAAACTGTGACAAAAAAGTATTCAGTGTAAATAAATTCAATGTTTTAAAATTCAGTGTCCAAAAATTCATTGTTTTAAAATTCAGTGTCAAAATATTCAATGTTTTAAAATTCAGTGTCCAAAAATTCATTGTTTTAAAATTCAGTGTCCAAAAATTCAATGTTGAAAAAAATTCTGTGTCCAAAAATGTGTTGCATTTTTTTTCGCTGCTTGAAATGTCATGCTTTATTTCCGGGTAAATCAAGAACAAAGCAATCGATCAGCCAATCCTCCATAGATGTAGCCAGGGCCAGAACACGACTTTGGCTTTATCCAAATGTCCACACTATATCGTGCGGGACAATTGTGAGTGAGTGACTGAGTGAGTGGACTCATTCTGATGGCGATTCAGACGCTGCACACTATTATCAGGCCGTGCTGTTGTACGTGAGCGTCCCGCTGTAGCGTGGATCACGGAGCGGAGAGGAGCGGCCATGATGAGGTAAAGGTAAATGTTGAATTTACGTTTTAATTAGGACATAACATTTAATTGTATTAACATTGGAGGTGGGAAATACCCTTCTATTGTTATATCAGAGGTCTGTTTGGTGATTAAACAGATTTTCTTTGGACTTTTTCTCCAGCCTTGAGCTCCAGTGCTAACACGCTAACCACGGGTGTAGAGCTGCGCTGATGCCCAGAATGGAGCGTCATGCCCTGGGAGTCATTTTGAGAGCTCCCTTATGCTAACAGTCTTAACTGTGGAAGTAATTATGAAAACCCAAAAAGGCGGCTGTTGTATCATACTTTCTCTGTTATAACAATTGTTTTAAGAGTAATCATTAGTCTTAAAAATGTGATATTTCATGTAAATAATGCATGTGTTTAGTGCAATTGATGGATTTGCTATGGCCCTCGTTTGTGCATCACTTTGTTGTAAAGTAATTTGTATTAAGTACAAACGTGATTATGTGCAGGGGGACATCTGTGAACATGAAGCTGAACACAGAAGACGCGTGGACTTGAACTTACGGACCAGATTTAAGGTCATGAGTACTTACTTTTTGAGCACAAGCTCCTCTTGAAATCCAACAGACCTGATCATGTCAGAGTTAATGGCTTAAATGTATTTGATTAGAAGTAGTACTTAAATACAAGCTATGAAACATGTTTCTCACGGATTGTGTGGTTGGTTAAAAAAACGCATACATCACTTTTCATTGCACACAAAGAACTAAATCATAATTAATTTATTTTATTCCAGGTTGTGATGAGTCCACCATAGAAAAGACAGTCAGAGGCAGACGTCCAGGCACCTGCTGTTACTGCTGCTGCTGTTACTGCTGCTGCTGCTGCATATGTCTTCAGAAAATGAGAGATGTGTTCTAACTATCCATGACTTGTAATTAATAAAACAAATGAACATATTGGTCGTTGTAGTTTATATCGTAATCCACAGAAGCTGGAGGTGACGGAAATGGATGAAGAAATGATGCCTCTGGAAGACAGCTGCCTCTGGAAAAGAAATTCACACAAAAAAATCATTAATTTAAACAGACCCGGTTCTTCTGGGATTAAAATGAGCCTTTTGTTACAATCAGACATGTCGACATATGTTCATATACATGTACTGTCCCAGTAAAATTAATTAATATAAATACACAGTAGTAGAGTAGAAACAGACGCTCTGAGGAGGAGCAGAAGTACGATGCCTTTACAAACACACACATGAACTTAACATGTGATAAACAGTAAATGTAAATACATGTCCAGTCTTTAACAGGAGGCTGGTAGAGTGGGATTTACAAATATACTCAATTAAAACCATATCTATCAGTCTGATTCCTCTCTGTAGCATTAATATTGAATCCATGGGTTTGTTTTCTCCCTAAAGAACCGATCCTTCATTCCATCTTGGTTTCACTAAGATATCAAAATTTAAGAGTAAAGATAGAATAATTATTGGAGGTCTAGATACATAAAAATGAACAACATAATTAACAACAACCCCTTAGCATGCTCTGTCTCTAAACAGTCAGCAGGTTTCGTCCTTGCTGCACTGCTAGAATAATATACACATTGAAATTTGGAACACAATACATATGTCACACAAGAACCGCAAACCCCCATGTACTTGGCTTTCCTGCGGTTCATTTTAGCTTAGCATTAGCAAAGATTAGCTTTGGGGAATCGCCAAAACATAGAAGCCACCTACGCGGAGCTAGCTAATGATAAGCTAAGGTAAAAACATGTTCAGAAAGTACAAACAGCAGTGGTTTGCGTGTACATACCAACTAATGATGAGAAAACACACTTACTGGTTTGCTGTGGACGCCATGGTCAGATGAACAAGACAGTCGTGTTCTGGCCCTGGCTACATCTATGGAGGATTGGCTGATCGATTGCTTTGTTCTTGATTTACCCGGAAATAAAGCATGACATTTCAAGCAGCGAAAAAAAATGCAACGAATTTTTGGACACTGAATTTTAAAACATTGAATTTTTGGACACTGAATTCTAAAACATTGAATTTTTGGATACTGAATTTTAAAACATTCAATTTATTTACGCTGAATACTTTTTTGTTACAGTTTATAGAATTCAAAAGAAAAAAAAAGTGTTGATAATAAAAACACAAAATAACCTTCATATGTGTGTGTTTGACCAGTATAAATGAGTGATATGAATGTGAGTTTTTAACAAATTGTGCACGCAAAGACTTGTATTTTGGCCAAATGTAAACCACATCCATGAATGTGTCTTATTTTTAATGTAATACACATAACATCAGCCTGCCCAGGGTGATCTTGTTCAGCACTTTGAGTTGCCTTGTGTATGAATTGTGCTATACAAATAAACTTGCCTTGCCTTGCCTTACAGGTGGAAATTAGTTCTTGAGCTATAACCTGGTACAATGCATCTTTCCCTTTTAGGTTAATGTTAATTGTGCACTGTCCCTGGCATCCTAAATAAATAAACTAAACTAAACTAAACTAAGGCCAAAAAATGCTCACGTATCTTGGAGTTGTGTCGGATCGACACCGGATGTATTCAGACCTGAATGGACTCGGACCAGAATTTGGTTGCAAGCGGACCGAGACCACCTAAAAAAAGTGGGTCTCGGTTCGGATCTTTGGTCCAGACCAGGATTTGTTTGTTTGTATTCAGACCTGCATAAAAGGTTCGGACCAGAGTTCCAAACGAATTCTGGTCCGTTTAAAGTGGAGCAAATGTATATTCCAGGCATGTCTAAGTCTGAATACACCCTTAATCTCAATTGGACTTTCCTGGATAAATAAAGGTTAAATAAAAGTTTTAAAAAGGCACTCCAGAAGGTTACATACTGTTGTTTTAGACCCTGCAACCAAACTGAAATAAACATTTGTGATTGAATAGAGCAGGGGTGTCCAAACGTTTTAGTAAGAGGGCCAATTTTGTTCACCAGGCTTGTCATGGGGCTGACAACATGGATTCCAAAACTTCTTTTACTGTACTTGGCTGTTCTGAGGTTTTAAATGGGTGTGTCCATAATGATTCACACCACAGCTGTCAGCTACACACTCGTGCCAATTTGTGACAAATCAAAAGCAAAAGTCAATATACACAAGTAAAGTTGATTTCTGGTTTCTGGTACAGCATAACTAAATAAGCAAGTAATCTAACGCCTTTCACAGTCCAGAGTCACAAAGCACTTTACAATTGTTGTTTGTCTCTGACTCCACACAGAGAGGGAAGCAGGGTCACCATACAGGAGGCACATGCCAGACCTACTGTACATGTTTTTAGTGGTAGGGGAAACTGGAGCACCCGGAGGAAACTTCCACGGGCAAGGGGGGACCATACAAACTCGACCCAGAAAGGCCTGGGGGGTTGAATCATACCCAAGACTGTCTAGTGCTAACCACCATGCCACCTAGGATATGGATGGAACTGAAGTTGGCTGGATGACACTATGAAAGTACCTCGAAAGCTAGTCAGTGTTAGCAGGGCAATGGACCACATGCCATGACACAGTGGGCCGCATTTAGCTCGCGGGCCTTGGTTTGGGCATGCCTGGAATAGAGCCATGTGTTCAGTACATATGGCTCTATTCCAGGCATGTCTAAATCCATTCTGACTATGGCAACCCCCCAGTGCTATCATACAAATAAGTTGCAACTTAAAGAACTAATGATTGACCCATGGCGCATTGTTCAGGTCATCGCGCACACAGTCGCCCCCTCGTCAGCAGTAGTCGTGTCTGGAGAGGATGTGAGATGTCAGCTGTCAAGTCTGGAGGCTCCATGCAGCGCCTTCTGCACGTAATGCAACGACAACCGATATGTAAACAATAAACCATCGCCCTCACCTGGAAGTAGAATGACTTTTTCACCCAGGCCCGTGGAAACAGAGCCTTCGCCATCACAGAAATAGATCATATCCCCAGTGCTGCGGAGGGACCGTGGTCAAAGAAAGCAGGGAAGGAGCAGCGTCGTGGTGGTGTCGGTGTGTTGGCGAGGCGGCTGAATGCGACGGGGTGGTTAGGGTAGGGGTGGTGGTGGTGGTGGTGGCAGGCTCGCATGGCATCTCGTTAGCCTCAACGAGTCCGGTCTTTCTACTTTTCAGGCATGTTCCACTTTCCCTGCGCTTCCCACTGCAGCTGCTGCCTGGTGGTTCAAGCAGCCAGGCAGCATACTTCAAGCAAGCGAGACGTGTGTGTACTGCGCATGCGCCAAGTCTCCACGCTATTTTCACTGGAACACGAGTTGTTTGTAAGTAAGTAAGTAAGTAAGTAAGCTTTATTTATATACCGCCTTTCACAGACCAGAGTCACAAAGCGGTTTACAATTGTTATTTTTTGGGCACTTGTCCTCTCACTCCACACAGAGATGGGAGCGGGGTTTGAAAAGCATTATGTCGTTCGCGTGATTTTAGTTTTCATTATATACCTGATTGAAAATATAAATGATAGATAAAGACATATAATGTAAGAAAGAAAGAAAAAAAATACCTTGAAATGTGTCTTGAAACATTTGTAGTCTTCATAACTTTGTGACTTTTTCTGTATCTTTGCGTAGTTTATTTCTCTTTAATTCTTTTTAAGGTATTATCTTTTACTTTTAAAATATGAGTAATACAACCGTTAATATAATTTTCCACCAGAAAATATTGAGTGTTAGTTACCATGGCAACACATCGTCAACAAGTTAGCATTACCATTTTTGTTGTTGTATTTCATTTGCAGTTATATTTACCAGTGTTAGCACTTATTAAAAGTGAGTAAAGACAAAAAAGCAAATACATTACTTACTAAATGAAACATTATTTTGGAGGATAAAAAAAAAGAATTCTATTGTTTGAATGGAAGCAGTGAGAATTTTTATACCATTTCTTTCTATCACTTCAAATGGTTAATGTTGGAATATTAACCATTGCATCTTATTAGAAAATATGTTTTTTTTTATACTTGTAAGAAAGATTCCTGTGTGTCACTATTTGACTCATTGGGCTCAGAGCTTATTGAATGAATGAGAGTGGTCCTCTGTTTTTCCCACTTTTCTGTCTGAAATAGCTGATCAAAAGATGTGATAGAAGCCAAAAATAGAGAACAATACTATCTTAGAGCAAGGAACTACAGTTACAGGATTTGTATTAAATTGTTGTGTGACTTGAAAGTTACATACACCAGCTTTAACAAATGTAAAAGGTTGACAATGTGAAAAACCGAATCACAAGACATAAAAACTTTAAGGGCACATAAAAGCATAGATAAAAATAAATATGTAATAGCAAAGATGAGTGTAAAAAGCCCATTGAGTTGAGTAAAACGTTTTTGTACGTAAAACGTTCAAAAAAAAAAAAGGTTATGTATATACTAGCAGGAGCACTAAAGACTTTATGAGAGCAAAGAGGAATTGAGATGGTTTTAGACATAGTTACCGCAGATTTAACTAAATTATGCATATTGCTCCTCGGATGGTGCTTCCTCAGATGGTTTTAACCTCTCTGGGTTTTGATACCATAGTTTATGTTATCATAGAGCGTGTCTGTGCGCCCTTAGAAATTAGTATTCTTGCTGTTTTATGTTCCAAGGTGCAGAATAATGTACATATAATTTCAACAGTTTATTTAAGTGTTTTGAAAGGCGCCATTCGTCTGTTTGCTCTGCTTGTGTGTTGTGTGTGACCTTGCCCATTATGTTTTGACTTTGCTTGGCGATTCTGTCTTCTTTTCTTTCGCCTGGAGTCATAAATAACAGAGATATATGTCATCTCAAACATGTGTGTTGTGTTTTGTGAATGTTTTCTTTCTCTTTCGTTTGTTTAAGCACCAGATTAAGCAGCACACAGCAGGTCAAAGTACACAAGTATGCTAAAGGCTGTGATCAATGCTCGAGATTAGTTAAATAGCTAAACTCTGTTATTAAAGTCAAGCTTTAAACCAGGCATGTCAAAGTCAAATACATCAGGGTTAGGGTCAAAAAAATAAATTTGCTGCGAGCCGAGGGCCGGACTGGTTCAATGTTTATTAACTCATTGCCTGCCAGCCTATTTCAGAACAGGTACTCCCATATTGCCAGCAGTTTCTGATGATTTTTATAGATTTTTCAAGACCCACAGAATATTGTGTACTATGACTATCTGAAATCTGAAACCAGATTCTGAAAGAATAGACTGTCTACTTTCATCAACAAAAATAATTTTGTTTCTAGCTTGTAATCCCCAGTTGAGTAGAGGGAAGTTTTACTGAAATCACCAAAAAGCTGAGAAAAAAGAGGCACAACAAGTGCATCTAGCTGTTTTCAAACCATTCAGAGAGCGCTGCTGCCACCTGCTGGCTCGATTCAATATGCTCTCAAGCTTGTCCCCATACATATTAGATATAATAGACATTTGGGAACATGAAAATAGCGGAAACGCAATTGACTTAATAGTCCGTCAATGGCAGGCAACGGGCCATGTAAAATTCATTCGCGGGCCGGATTTGGCCCGCGGGCCTTGACTTTGACACATGTGCTTTAAACCATAGAATTAATCACACTTCTGTGAATAGGATTTCAAAATAAAAGGCAATTTGATCCCACTTCCTCCTTGCCAGGCAACCTGATTTTGTCCAGAAATCAGGCTTTAAAATAACTTGAAACAAAATATGGACATAGATTATTTATTTTGTACAGATTCATATTGATTTTTTTGTATGTATTTGAAATGTTTTATCTGATTATACTGTAGCACTTTCATAACTTTCTGTATCCATGGTCTCTGTAAAGCTTGATTGAGTGATTATGTTCTGTGGTTACAGGATGAGGACATTTTTCATAAGAGTTAAATAATAATTTGAGGGGATTCTTATTCAGTGTATGACATTTTATTGCCCATCTGGCCGGGACCTATTTGCATATAGATATTATACGCACACATCACATCATTATATCACACATTATAAAGACATCAAAGCAGCGTCAAAAGCTCACGTATATGATATTTGGACAAAGGATCTTGATGTCATGGTGTGGATTTTTATTTTGGTACTTGGTGTTATTTGGATTTCAGTTCTCTGTGGTTTAGTTTTAGTTTGTGTCTAACCAGACTGTGTCTATTTAATATTTACAGTCTATGGTGTCTATGTGCCTGCTTTGTCCTTGTCTTCCGTTTTCCTGGTTCCGGTGTTTCATTTTGGATTTTGGGTTTTGGTTTACCTCATCATCATCATTAAATCAATATTTTTTGTATTCCTGCATTTTGGGTCCTCCTTCATTTCACTTGTGACACTGGAGCTATTTTTTTTCCCTGGAGCACATACCCCTGCTATTACTTTACAATCAGCAAAAACTCTTCTGGTTGCAGATATAAGCAACTTTGAAAAACGGGTTAATAAAAAGGTGAGAATTTGAAGGCAGTCTGAGTACATACTGTATAGATGTTCTATTATGTATGAACAAGAACCACGTAGGCGACAGGTTCATAAGTGCAGGTCTACGTGGGAAGGGAAATGTGTGGAGTATTTCTTTTCACAAAACAACAATAACACCACAAAGACAAGCTTCAAGTAATCATGAGATTCCTTTATTGTGGCATAAATACAAATATTGACATGAAATATGACGAGGTCCAAGTGCCAAACTGTTGATGTGCAGCACGGTGGCTGAGTAGATAGCACTCTTGCCTCTCTGCAAGAAGGTCCTGGGTTCGAATCCTGGTCCAACCAGGGCCTTTCTGAGTGGAGTTTACATGTTCTCCCTGTGTTTGCGTAGGTTTCCTCCAGGTACTCAGGTTTCCCCTACCACTAAAAATATGTACAATAGGTCTGGCATGGGCCTCCTGTACTGGCGACCCCGCTCCCATCTCTGTGTGGAGTGAGAGACAAATGCCCAAAAGTAACAATTGTAAACCGCTTTGAGACTCTGATCTGCAGTGAAAAGGCGGTATATAAATAAAGATTACTTACTTACTGATGTGTCCTTTAGCAAGACACTTCACCTACATTGCGTAGAATGAGTCTGGTGTGTGTGTGAATGAGACATGAAGTGTGCAAACACGTTGATATAGCAAACAATTTAGTTAATATGGTTAAAAATATAGCCTGTTCGGGATAAATTATGTATGACAAAAAGTGACTATAGCAGTGCTGTTTTTTCAGTCATAGTGCAGGTCATTAGTGACTTAAAGTGACTTATTATTATTAATACAAGACTAAAGAAGAATAACTCTATACTAACATAATGAATAAAACACAATCTCTTACTAAACCTACAATTAAGACATCAGAAGCATGGTCTTTCTTTAAGGGGCGTGCATGTAGTGTAGTGTGACGCCCTGTCTACAAATTCAAATGTTTGAAAAAAGTGTGCGTGCTGTCATACACGTGCACACACACACACACATACACGCCCACACATACACGTGCACACACACACAAAGATATACGTACACACACACACACACTGTAGCGGACCGCAGTGGTGGAGGCGCTTCCCATAATGCACTCGTCGAGCACCAGCGGGAAACCAAAATGGCGAATGCACAGGGTCAATATGAACCGTTTGTTATTTTCTGATCCGCGCACGAGCCCCACGCTGGTCCCCGCGGTCCCCCTGAGATAAGCCCGACCGCGGCCCCCTTAGGTGCCCGACCCCCGTAGCAGTTTCGTCCCGTGTGTGTGAAGAAGCGGTCGGCCAGATGAGGTATTGTTGTCATGTTTTGTTGGTCGGTGGTGATGGGGGTGTGGGTCCGGCTCACCGGGGCTTTCATGCTAGCCGTCAAGCTAACGACCACATTAGCATTCACGTTTCATTCAAATAGCGTCGGATTCTGCAGTGTTATAACGGGAATGTTGTTGATTTTGTGCAAGCAGATACTCAAATACACACATTGCGCGCTAAAATCCCCGCAGACTCTCATTGTATTTGCCAAAGCCGGGTAATTTACATTTTTGACGCATTATTTGCGAAACGTCATAATGTTAAAAAGCCTTGTTATTCTGGCCCTGTATGGATATAGCCATGTAAGAACACCGATGTAACAGTGCTGTAGTAAGTAGCTAGTAATCCCAGTGTATTAATCCTCCTCCCCAGAACACAGCTGATCCCAATTTATTCTGATTGTTCTTCATGTTTGCACTGGGATATACCAATATTGACTCAATTTGGAAACTATAATACATTTTTATTCTGACATTTAACAATTCCTTAGCTAAAATCCATCCACGTTATCTCAAACACATGGCGATAATTATGACTAACTTTGATGCCAAGAGAAGGTCAGATGAAAGTATGATTATACACTCACTCCAATGCACTGGTATGCATATTGCCTGGAGGAAGATAAAGATATCTTATCTTTAACGGGTAAATGGAATAATGACAAGGCTGTGGCAGGAGGATGTAGGAGGATATAGTGCCTTTGACACATTATCATAAATAAAACCTGGTTAGACATGTGTTTGATGTGACCACGTTTACACTGACATTGTGTAAAGAGACACAACGATACGGCAGGACTGAAAAGTGCCAGACTTGTTTCTTGCTTTAAATAAATAAAATAAGATAAGAGAACCTTTTATGTTGAGGGAAAGGTTTAATGTTGCAGCGCACATACACCAGACAGTAGTAAGAGCACAGAAGGAGCACACAAAATATACTTATAGATCCATATTGAGATTTCAAATTTACCAAATATACATTATGAGCCACAGGTTGTCGACACAATCATATGTCTTCTTTAGGGCTAGGTTTAGGGTTTAGACTTATAGAGCCTTTTTTAGTCTCACTGAATTTTTTATTAATAAATTGTTGAATGCGTCTAGCCTCGTATATCACGGTCAAATTCTCAATATTAGCATTGCTTTGTATCTTGTTGACATGTCCAAATATTTTTCATAAACTTCATACTCTCTTCCGTTGGTTGCAGAGACTCAGGCACTGTGGACCCCCATCTGCATCAGCGCTCGCCCGTTTCCCACCGGCAGCAGGGGTCCAGGTCCCTCTCGCCACACGAGTTTGGTGAGCGGTTCTCCGAGGGCCAGGATGTCCTCGCCCGCTGGACCGACGGACTCTTCTACCTGGGGACTGTCACAAAGGTTGGCATCACTAAAGATGTAGAACAGAGAAGGAACAGTTTTTGACAAATACAGCAAATTATATACTGTATTTTTACTCCTACAATTAAACAAGTCATGTATGCTTTGAAATCAAACATCTGTTCACTTCTTTTTTTAAAACCATCCAGGACCTGTTCCAAAACAAACATAAAATAACCTACCAAAAAGAATAATCAAACCGATATTTAATCAAAGTAATTTTTCAATATCCTCTATGATGTAAAGAATAAACACACATACAATCCCTGGCATGCCTTAAAAAAAAAAAAAAAAAAATCTGCCTTCAAAAGAATTCTGGAATTCGCTTGATCTCTATTTCCAACATGTTAAATGTGCAATGACAAAGTAGGTGGGTGACTTCAACATTTCTTTTTAATTACATATTCTTTACAATATTTCATGAAGGACATTCATATTCATTATTTCGGTTACGTGCACCTCCTCTTGGCTGAAAACTAATTAGGGCTGTTTATAAGTGAATTAATTCAACCCAGCTAATCAATTATTGAAATGTTTGTTTACTAATTTGAGGGTTAATATCTTTTGATAAAATTTTTTGAACCATACATAGACCTGTTGAAGAGGTTTTGTGACTCAGATGATTCTATAAGGAGCACAGAATGAAATTAAAATTTGTTTTGAATCAACCCAATGTGTAACAACAAGACATCTCCATTGGCCTCACTTTAGCTTTTATTTTGCTCAAATTTTTACGTCTCATCGAGCCCATCACGGGACCTGCTCCCATTAATGTCTGCTTTCATTGTGTCCTTGGGCAAGACACTTAACCCCACATTATTACTGGAATATTAGCTGTAAATACGGCGCAAACTCTTGATGTCACTGACAACTACCTACAACACCTGCCTACCCCGCCCTCTGCTTGGTCGGAGGGGAAATTATAATGGACCGGAGTTTACAGATGGCTAAGGCCAGGCTAGCCTTGATACTGAAAGAAGGACTGAACTCACTCCTCACTTTCAGATCGATCATGAAAAGCAGCGATGCTTTATTGTGTTTGAAGATCGGTCCAAGTCCTGGGTGCTCTGGAAGGACATCCAGACAGGTATGGGTACGTATTCAGTGTCTCTTATTCTCTCTATGCACCGCTGCACTGGTCCACTCACACCTCACAGGGACATGTAGACTTGTCTTATCATAGGCCGTAGCAGTCGTGTGGTAATCAATGCTCCATGACTCTTGCACTACTCTCCCACACCCAAATTCACTCTTATCTACTCAGTTTGTGTTTAAGGCAGTTAGAGTCGTGACACTGGATGTGTCACGACTCTTAACTGCCTAAAGAAAGACAAAAAACATCAAGGCTCTTCAAATATATTTCTTTAATGCAGAATGTTTAAGTAATTATAATATTCTCAAATATGATACCACAAGCCGCCAATAGTAGATAATTGTGGATTCTTTGACTAAAATCTATAGACATACACTATGCAAGTTTTAAGTGGAAAGCTCAAGATGCATAATTACTATGATCAGGATTTATAACATGAGGCTTAGAAGGTTATTTTAGTAAGACAGAAGTGTAAAGAAGCTAGTACTGCTTAATTCTTTACACTGTTGTCTTATTGAAAGAAAAGTGCTATTAAAAAAAACAATGCATTATTAATATTAAGTAAACACATTATACCTTTCTACTGAACCATTTTTAACCTGCATTTGAACATAATTGAATTACACCCCCTTGTATTTTTTGTACACACTTCTCTACCTTATAATGGTAGAGAAGTGTGTATTCTTTAAGTAAATATACAGACATGTACTATGCAATCCACCAATCATTTGAGAGCAGGAATATGATAAATATTTTACAGCTCAAGACACCACTCAGACACGCAGAAACTGTTTTCGTTGTAGTTATTGTTCTGTCCTTTTTCCAGGTGACGAAGACGACGATGATGAGGAGGACGAGGATATAGTGTGCTCCATTTGTCAGGATGAGACGTCCGACGAGCCCAATGAGATCGTCATATGTGACCAGTGCGGACAAGGTACGGCCCCCTCCCCATTACCCGCCAGCCTCCGCATGGACGGCGTATTTACCCGCCTTCCATTCTGTTGCTAAGGTTACCATCAGCTGTGCCACACCCCCATCATCGACGCCGCCGTCATCGACTCTGACGCCAAGTGGCTCTGCTCCGAGTGCTTATCTAAGGTACTCGTCTTTCTCATTGACTTTGTACATTTGTTTTGGTAGAACTAAAGGCAGCTGCAGAACCAACACCAAGATAAGATAAACTATTGATCTCACAATGGAGAAATGTACATGTAAAATCTGGCATAAATAGAATCACTCAGGGTGTGCAAAAAGACAGGAAGTATGCAACATTTCAAAAGGTTAAAATATAGTCTCTTTTGTGCAAGATATATTATGTACAAGAAAATGAAAGTGGCTTGGAAATGGTTTCTTTTCTCATATACTTTATTATTAGATGAATCCTACATTTTGTTTGTCCCAAAAGGAAGGGTTTGGTGAGCGCTCATTGGTCGACTGAGGCTACTCCTTTCCTTTTCACTTTGCCGTCAGAAAAAGCTGAACCAAAGATTTGACTGGTGCCAAAAATGTGGAACTCGTGGTGGAACCAAACTTTCCAATAGATCATCATCAAACTTCATGACATCATCAATCAATATTTATATGAAAATCTTTATAATTATGCAACTCAAAGTGATTATTAAAAATATTGACCTATCAACTGTCAAAAATGAGATAAGATGCGGATCGGTCTGGGTGATATTATACCATGAAGGAATCCTCGACGCTTCAATCAGCAGCTGCCATGGTGCCAGTAGCTTCGGCCTTCAGAAAACCAAAACATTCAAGTTGATAATCCCAGAGTCCTGCATACTGTTATTAGAATGATTTTAACTACAGTTGCTTCAAAGTGTCATAAATGATCCATACGACCCGTAGTTCAATTGAAAAATGCGTTCCTCTTTGCAGCGGTCTGGCTCGCATCGCAGAATAGCCACGCGGTACCATGAGCCCGAGCCCGAGGAGATGGATCACTCTGGTCTGCATCTGTCTTTCCCGTACAACCCCAACGATCTGGTGTGGAACCCGGGCCACAAGACCAACATGCAGCAGTGCTACTGCTACTGCGGCGGCCAGGGCGAGTGAGTCAAACACAGAACACTGCAACAGCTTTGTCAAACACCGGCCACATTGTTAACTATAGTATGTGACAGAATGTTCTGTTGATTACTATTTTTTTTTTTTTTTTTTACCAATATTTTCGTTTTCAGCAAATTGTTTCCCCTTTTCCCAATACCTTCTCGGCCAGAATTGCTAAACAATAAATAAAATGTTGAATATTCCCTATAAACAAACAGTATAATTAATCTGGTCGTTCACGCAATCCGTGACTCCACAATTACACCTTCCATAAACCAGAGTCCTTTACACTTCCAGTCATATTTTCTTAAATGTTTTGGGTGGAGGTGGGGAGCCCACCACCTCCGCAGTCTTTCTGTGTAGGACCCAATGTGGAGCGGAAAGGCAAGTGAAGTAGGAGGTCTCTGGGCTGGTTTCACTTGTGCCAGTTGTATAAATGACATTCGGCCTTTATGGTTACACGTCTACACTGGCACACTCTAACTGAATGCCAATCCTTACTACTTCAGGACCCCTGGATAGAGCTGATGGACAGTTTTAGTGTCTCTGTGTATTCACATGTCTCTCATGTGTTTCCTGCAGCTGGTATCTGAAGATGATGCAGTGCAGCAGATGTCTGCAGTGGTTCCACGAGGACTGTCTCCACAGTTTACAAATGCCCATGCTCTACGGAGACCGGTGAGTGTCCAAGAGGACGAGGGTCGGCCTGAAACTTCAATCTCATTCTTCGTGACTGCGATTTAGAAAATAGTAAAAAAAACGGTTGAATTAAGTAGTATTTTCTTAATTCAAGAGCAAATTGACTTTAAAATTTGATTTTAAAATGAGATCTGCTGACTTCAAGCATATTTATTCATGTTTCAGTTATTCCTCAAATGTCATTGCTTCTAGTGCACTAGATGTGTTACATTATTCTACCCTCACCACAGAAATCACAAAATCTGTTTTTATCCCTACAGGTTTTATCTGTTTGTGTGCTCTGTCTGTAATCGTGGACCGGAATACCTCACTCGACTGCCTCTCACGTGGTAAACTTTTTACTTTCATCCACAAAGTATATCTTTATTACTCAAAGGCCATTTCTAGGTGTTAGCCATGTTCCCGGGACATGCCCAGTTCTTCCCGTGAACGCTCTGTTTACAAGTCACTGTTGGCATTGTTCACACAAGCTCACTTTCCAATAAGAATTCTAGTCATCCCTTACTGAATGAATCATGTTTATCCATACATCTTCTACTCAAGTAATTATTTCCAATTCTAAAATGTAAAAAATCTGAAAACTTTTCACATCCGTCTCTGACATGTGCGTTAGAGAAGGCCCCACACACAACTTGTCCAACTCTGAAAAGGAAAAACTCTCACACGGTCCTAAAATGTGAAATACCAAAGTAAATGATGTTCAAAGGCAGACATGAACTCAAATACTCTCGTTTAATTGTCCGTTGGTTTCTTTCTGATTTCAGTACTTAACAGTTTGTCTGTTGTAATGCAGGGAGGATGTGACTCACCTCAGCCTCTACAACCTCAGCGTCATCCACAAGAAGAAGTATTTTGACTCACAGTTGGACCTGATGGTCTACATCAATGACAACTGGGACCTGCTGCAGCTTGGAGAGGTGAGCTCACGTGCATTTGATATTAGGATTAAAAAAAATAGTTAAATGTAATTGAGACTTTTCACAGCTTTTGTTTGATCTCATTATAGTTAGTTTCTCTTGTCGACTAAACACTCACAGTTGATTTTAGAGCAAATCATGTTCGTTTGCATGAAAGACGCCAAGCTCCTGTGACCTCCAGAGATACTCGAACTCTTGCTGAATCTTTTCCACAAGAATATTTTGTTCCTGCTATTTGTTGAGTAAAAAATTATCACTTTTTTGATGTCTTGAGATGTATACGTGGCCACAGCCGTGTCAGAGATCACCAGAGAGAGATGCTATGTCTTTGTTTCAGTTTATTTCTACCACATTTTTAGTGGTAGAAATAACACATTGAAAGTTTTTTTTAGAGCAGGGGTCTCTTTTTCGTTTGGAGAGCTGCTTTAAGTCGATGAGCAAATCATGGAGAACACATGCATAATATTCCATTAGATGGATACTTTATTGATCCCCGTAGGATAAATTCAGTTGTCCAGTAGCAAAAAAATCCATACAAACAAAGCAAATAAATCGATCATTCTAAAAATAGCTAGCAGTAAAAATAGCCAACAATCAGTCTTTTGGGTCACAGCAGCAGAGGTGGTGGAGCCGCTTGGTTCGGACCATTTTCTCTGCTCTGGTCCAGAGTAAAATGCTGTATCCTTTGTTAGCATAAAAAAAACGGAATAAATGCATTCCTCCAGTGAATCTTCTCTGATCCGGTATTGATCAGTGTTAAACACAGAACACTGTAGGCAGAAACATTTACTGGTAGAAAAAAGCAAGAAAAATAACAAAGCACAAAACAACTTTCAGAGCTACTAAGGACTTCCTTCTGTTTCCAGCGCATTCAAAAGTAAACCGTAAGCAAGTTGTTATACCCTACTACAATGACCCAAAAGTGAATCATTCAGGATCATGTGTTGCATTCTTGAATCCTTTGGGGAGCTATTGGTAGTACCAGAGCTAAAGGTTGGAGGAGAGTCCTGTTTAAGATTTGATATAGAGTTGCTTCTCAGACGACTGCCACTACACACACAACCTTTTCACATATCAACCGGCCTTTTCTCGTGCACAATAGTCAACTATGATCACATGCTCTCGTGTCCGCAGCTGGCTCATACTCTCATATCCGAGCGATTTGAGTATGTTTTGGAGGCGCTCAACAACAACCCCAGCATGTGAGTCTGTGCCTTAAGCTTAAGCCGTATCTCTATGTTCCATCATGTCTCACATCCTGATCATCTGCTTCCACGGGGACAGGTTCATGTCCGGGAAAGAGGTGAAGAAGAAGAAGCACTGGTACGCCCTGAGGATCCGCTTCCCGCCGTCTCCCCCCAACGCCGACGAGCCTGCGGGACGCATGATGGAGAGGGCCTCGCACGAGATCACCATCAAGGGCTGCCGGTCTGCGAAGAGCCTGTCCAACGCCAGGTTCGCTCATGGGTCTTTTTGGGCGTTTTTTACAATGACGTTTAAAGTGGACACAAATCGCCTTGTCACTGCTTTTCTGTTCAATTAATTCACTGCAACAAATGATACATTATGAGGTGATATTGGCTTGAATTGAGTGTTTTGAGTTTGTTTGCCAATGGGACTAAGCCCAGTTTAGAGATGGAGACATTTCTTTGTCCCAATTTTGCTTGTCCCATTGGCAAATCTTGTTTTATGGCAAGATACATTTTGCCATATTAGAGCAATTTTTAAATATTTTTCATCACATTTTGCAGTGTTTTGTATAAATATTTACGTTAAGTTGTTAAATTGCCGACACCGATCAGAAGAATCAAGTACAAGAAATGCTGTGATAAACCCATAGAGCCATTGGTCCATCAGAGGCAGATGACCAATGTCCTGGATGATCACTATTTCCACCATGTTATAGTTACATTATAGCTACATTTACGCTCTTTGTTTTCAGAGTGATTGACACATATTTGAGTAATATATATTTCTCTCACATCAAAGAAACCATTGTTTCTCTGACTGCCTCCGAGTCACGCATGTTGTTTCTGTTTTCAGTTTTTTCTGTATATTTTGCTCCTAGTTGAATCTGTGATAAGCAGATGCTGCTGCTGCTGGGTTGATCACATTTCTGCTTGTAGGAAAATAAACATTTTATAACATTGTTTTAACTCAATATTGAGATTTCAAGTTGACCGAACATATAGTCGTAGATTATCACTTATTAATAGAGAGCATGTTAACGTCTTTGAATATCTTTTTAACAATGACTTTTAAGAGGTTCTGAATATATGTGTAAAACGGTGTCATGTGCAGCTGTCATTTCTGTAACGTGCTGAATAGAAGTTTGTTGTTGTTGCAGAGACGTTCACTCGTTAACAAATGGCACAGAGAAGAAGAAAAAGAAAAAGAAGAAAAAGAGGAAGCAGGAGGCGGAGTGTGTGGAGCCGCGGCCCCAGCGCTCCAGCGCACACTTGTCCCAGGTGATGTCACATGACACACACAGACACTCACGACTGTAGGGACAATGCACTTATATTATCGTCTGAATCCACAGGAAATGAGAAAGCCTTTAGAGTCTCACTCAAGGGATCGATTCCCTGCTATCAAGTAAGTGAATCGTGTTTATTTTTCAATTGCTTTAATAAATAAAGACAAATCAGGATTTCATTAGTATTTTATATTTAAAATAATCTGTTGACTTGTATCTAAACTACAGGACTGAGATTCCTTTGTGGCGTTTCAGTGTCATATTTCCGCACAAACGGCTTGATGTAGAGTAGACAATGTTTTATTTTCTGAAATGATGCCATATAATCTGTGAAGCTGATGGCCCTGTTATGTTTTATTATTGGTCTTGATGGTTACAATCTCCTGTATTCATAATTAATTCCTGTAAACACTGATGCATTCTGTTGTGACCAGGAGTGACCGGCCTCTGAGTCGAACGTCAGACGTGGAATCTATAGGAGCCTTGAGCACCTCAGAAACTACCTCAACTAGCATTTCAAGACCATCGAGGTACGGCTCTCCCGCGGGGCTGGGTTTGTCATCAGTAATATGTTTTTCTACTCGTCCTTCTGATGTATAATCTCTCTTTATGTCCAACTAATACTTTCATATTCATGTTTTTCGCTTACTGCTCACTTACTGCTGCCAAAATGTTACTCCGGCAAAAGTACTTGCATTGTATGCAGTTACTTGAAAATCCCAAAAAAGTGAGAGACCAGAAGTGTATATAAGCATAAATCTTCAAGAGTGATTACTAGGGGTGCAACGGTTTGAAAAAATCACGGTTCGGTTCGTACCTCGGTTCAGAGGCCACGGTTCGGTTCATTTTTCGGTTCATTTTTCTAAAAAAAAGTTTTGTCTTTTTAATAAACACAGCTCATGTGGACTCTGCACCTGCTCTGACTGCCCCCTCCTGACCTAGAAATGAATTAAGGGGAAGGAAATGGATGGATGGATGGAAGGCATATTCCATCCATCCAATTATGTCTATTTAACATAATTAATGAAAAACAACACAAAGTGCAACATAAGAAGGCACTTTATGAGGATATTTACCCTCATATATTACACCACCTTCCTGATTCTCCCAAGGAGGGGGTCCATTCTGGGCCCAGCCTCATTCACTGCATTTATTTAATTTTTGGCATTATCAGTTGTGACTGGGATATTAGTACTGGGCCTTTGTCTTCCATTCCTCCGCTGCTTGTGTCAGTACCTGCGCTGTGTGACAGTGTGACTGTCGTAGAGGGGCGTGTCTTCAGCGCCAGACTTTTCATCTCCCAGTCTGCGGTGATGAAGTGAGCGGTTCCGCTCATGGATCTATTATAGATTCCGCGGGACGTCCAAGCGTCAGTCGTGAGCGCAGCTGAGGATGCGCGGGAGAGTTGACTTTAGCCCGGTCTGACTGTGCGTAAAGGAGCTGCTTAAATGCCGCGACAATAGGTGGTCGTTGAGACGCTTTTTTCACTCATGTCTTTCTTGTGCCACAGTGCTTACACACCGTGACAGTTTTGTCGAATATTAATCATCAGTATAGTTACAGTGAAGCCAAAATGCTCTCATACTGGGGATTTAAATTACGCAGGGCTTTCAAGCTCCTCCGTTCCTCCGCTCGCAATGACCACGCTGTATGTGTGGACTGAACAACGTGCGCACAACTTTTTTTTCATAAATCAAACCGCGGATCACGTCTGTACCGAACCGAAGACGTTGAACCGAACGGATCACGGATCAGTGATGAACCGTTGCACCTCTAGTGATTACAAATTTGATAAAAAATTCTCATCCAAAATGTTAAAACATAAGCACCCAATCACTCCACCGGTTTCCTGATTTAAGGAAATCGATTCAAATCCTTAACACTTGTGGTACCCTCAGGTCAAAATGACCTGCCACAGTGATTAAAAGTAGAAATAAAAATCCTAAATTAGAGTCAAAAAGGGTCTAAAGGACCCAGGGGCTGGTCAAGCCAGGAAAAAGGTGAGTTGAATTTGACCCAAGGGTGACAGGCGTGCTAATGGGGGGGACTTTATGCAATGTGTAAGTTTTCTAACCTACAATGATTCCCCCTTTTCCTCTTGTTCCTTCAGCCTCTGTGGTTCTAACCGGACTCGCCCTGCGCCCTCGTGCTTCGCACCCCTCGGCTCAGCTCCGTTAAAGAGGAAGCGCGGTCGTCCCAGGAGAAGTGCGCCACCCGCCAGCCTCGACATCCCTCCACCCAGCGACGCCGACCCTCTGCCGGGCAGCACCGAGCTGCTCAGCCCCCTCCACGGCCTCCACTCCACGGACATAATCCACGGCATGGACCCCAACAGCCAAATGACCCACCTCCGCAGCTCCATCAGCAGCTACTTCGGCCCCGCGGGACGCCTGGCCTGCGGGGAGCGGTACAAGGTGCTGGCGCGCCGGGTCACGCTGGACGGCAGGGTGCAGTACCTGGTGGAGTGGGAGGGAGTCACTGCTTCATAAGACTCTTCACATAACCACCTCCACCGTTAACAGGCTGGCCCCAGAGACTTGAACGGACTAAAAAGATATTACGTTTGATGGAGCCAAATTCAAGGCAATTTGCTTCAGAATTGACAAGAAAGGGCATTATTTTGTGGAGAAATATTATCAATTATTGCAATACTTCTGTGTATTGATACATTGTCCATAAAAATTGGCTATCATAAGTCATGACAGCTTTGTATAGAGAAAGAACCCAGAAAAATCCACTTTCCAGGCCTTTACAGTTTTGATTAAGTTCAAAAACGCATATCTTTATAAAGGATACGTCTTTGAAGCTTCACTGTTTGCAGATGAAAATATATTTTGTTTTATGGAACCAAATTCAAAGCCTTTAGTAGCTTCGTAATTGACAAAAAGTGCATTATATTTCAGAGACTGCTTGGTTGGCTTTCTGTATTATGACCATTTCAGTGCATAAGCCAGGAAATGAACACGTCTGTGCACAATATGACAGCTACGTCTGTTTATAATCAAGTCAAATTGTCATTCAATAACTAAGACGGACCAATATACTTTGTCTCAATATTTATAGTTTGTAAAAAGACATTTACAGTGGTGCGAAGATCCATTTTTGAAGTACAAGCTGAAAAAGTCATTATTTTTGGACAATTCTGCCGTTTTCTTTGGTTCAACTTTTGGCTTATACAGGCAATTTTTAGTTCAGTGTGTATTCTGCTGATTTTCTAGTTACACCAGTGGGAAAAAAATGTGTTACTGCAATACTTCCAATCCACTCTCCAGGCCTTTTTAGAGTTACAATTCTTAAGTATAAAAATGCATATTGTCATAAAGGATACTGCAGATGTTCTTGTATTATTATTTTTAAGATCTTAAATTTGTCTCCATCAAACCTGGAGCCTCCCTGCGGTTTCGCCTCCACCAATGCCACGTTTGTCGAAATCGAACTGAGCTGGAAGGCACCACGCTATTGCCTTGAACGGACTCATCAGGAAGAAGGAAAAAAATCATTGCATTTTGGCCACGACTTGCTTTTGTTTTGTTTGGACAGCTTCACTGACTTCACTCACGCAGATAGGGATGTCACGATGCAAAATGTTTCGGGTATTGTGAGAAGCAGCATCGTGAACTTCAGTATTCCTATGTTTATATTGATTTCTATGTCTCCATCTCTTCCATTGGTTCCCATCATCCTTGAAGCCTGGCTGTCATGGATCAAGTTGTAAACGTATAGATCTTGGAGGTCTTTTGGAATCGACATTTTCTTTTAGAATTGTGTTTCTCCTACGCTGTGATGTAAATAATCTCCATTGCAGATTACCGGAGTCATCCTGGCATCCCTACATGCAAATACTCTCATAGCATCTGTCTGTCTGTGATGCTAGGTGTCGTCTTTACTTTGTGGTGATGAAAAAACAGTTGTGCTGCTGCAAATATTTTATATAGAGTTTTTCTGCATTTATATTATTATTATTATTAAAATAGCCTTTTCTTTTTACTTAGCAAGCCAGTGCTTTTGGAGCAAGGCAGCCTTTTGTATCCCAGTTACACATTCAACATAAGTTCCATCTCAGCCATGTCTAACCGTGCTGTGTCTGGTCATAATGGTAATAGGGGTTGAGATAAACTTACATTTTATGGGATTTGCTGATGATGGCGCAGCACTTCCGGGTCCAGGCGAAAGATAATTGTATACTAACAATGGTTTGTATGCTAAAATCTGGTTTTATACTGTAACTCCCACTTCTACTGTCTACTTGTGTTTAAGAGTGGTCGATATAATACCATGTTTTCTAACCATAGCCAAAAAAACAAAGTGGCTGTTCACATAAACGTATTGTGTGTTCTCTGGAAACTTTATGAAAAAATCTCTTGCCCTGGAAATCCCATTGGTATCTGGATCCCACTTCACATACGATTAATATTGTGACTTTTGACACTATATAGACTTGTAAAGATGGCAGTTTTTTGGCTTGCACCATTAGCGTTAGTCATTTTGATTTTACACAATTGTATTTTTCAACAAGGAAATTTCCCAGTTGCCGGGAACGCGGCGTCAATGCAAACCACTTCATTCTTTTACTCACGTTTAATCGCAGTTTAATCGATTTGTGTTTTTGTTTGAACACAAGCGCGGACTAAATATTAAGCTGTTAAATTGCTGCAGCTTTGACCACAATTCCCCCAATCCGTAGGTGAGCGATTATGTTTCACTTAACTTATCTGATTTGTTTTAAAATAGTTTAAAGAAAAGTTCAAGGATTGTTTATCAAAGCAATCTTCACTGATTGTCAAGTGAGAAAAACATTTAAGTCAGAAGTTTGTCAAAGTGTTAATACTTGGGTCAATGTATTTTATCATGTTGTTTTTGCCATTTTCTTGTTTTCATTAATTCCTCAACGGAACAGTATTGACGATTATGTCCCCTTTTATTATCGGTTTCTGTGCTGTGACTGTCATTTCAACAGGCTAACCAAGCCAAAGAATCACCCATGCGACTTTTGTTACGTTACATACATTTATTTACAATTGTACATCGCTGTAGAGATGGCATGTTATTTTTGAACCGGTTTTCTACAGAATAAATATTTTCAATCAACAAAATGCCTGTCATTTTTTGAGAATGACATCTTATTTCCCTGATGTCTACATGTTCATGTCTCAAACCTTATTATACCCTTTATTATAAGATCCTATGTTAATATAAGCCAAGAGAATTTTTATTTGTCCCCATAGTTGGACAGTGGTGAAACGCTTATGAACGCATGCCTTATATCTATTTTTACATGTTTAGCTTGTTTGCACAATGAACAAAGGAAACAGCCAAGTTTGTGACTTCTTGTCATAATGGCAATAAAATAATTCAGATTCTGACGTTCAAATCATTCAAGTTGCCGTTTAACACAGAAGTACAGCATAAGGTTCTTTATAACTGCAATATATATTAAATACATTTAATAAATATAGTATGCTTGAAGGACGTAATGTATCAGAATCAGAATCATTTTTATTGCCATATAAGTAACAGGAAGTCAACAGATCCATGAATTTTCTGCTTACATTATTTTACATTCTAAAACATGATTTGCCAACGTTAAGAGTCTCAGTGTCATGTTGTGGAGACAAAGATAATTATAGATATTTATTCTTTGACAGAAGTGAATTACGCGCCTTGATTCCCGGTGATTTCTATGACAACTGCTAAACCAATCCCAGGACAAGTACTCTGGCTTTGACCAATCGGGAGGCGCGTTGTTAACTTGTGGGCGGGGCGGAAATTACAAACTGTTTCTGCTACTATGCGATGCGCTGATATGGATTTTTGTGGATTAAAGTCTCGTTAATGAATTTTAAGTTTCAAAATAAGTATCATAAGTGTGATAGAACTGACAACAATAAGTTAATCTATATATTTTAACCTTTTTTATGAGGAGAACCAGCACCTGTTGAATGACCGAGCGTTGTTTACATGCAGCTTTAAGCTAACTTAGCCGAGTGGTATGAGATGTGCCAAAACAGCTAACAGCTTGTGTGGAAGATGGAGACTTCACTTCACCATCAACAAGGATCTACCCAGTCACGTAACACAAGGTCAGTTCAAGTTAAAAGTATGATACAAAGTTATGCTCATGTCCAGCAACTAACCCAGACCCAGATAAACCAAGATAACTTTTATTCGTCCCCTCAGTAGGACAGTGGGGAAAAGCCATTGGATTGTAACTTGTATGTATGGCTCCTAAAAGTAAGGCAAGGTAAGGCAATTAGTAAAAACACAATTCATACACAAGGCAACTCAAAGTGCTGAACAAAATACATAAAAAAAGATAAAATCCTTCAGATGTAGTACAGCTAACAGAACTGTTATTAACCTGGATTTAAACATTGTCAGTGAAGAGGCCTGTCTCACATTTTCAGGAACGTAGACCGTCTGTAACTTTATGTGGCACATTACCTGCATAATATCATGTAACAGTTAAATGGTGGATATATTGTTTTAGTTAGTTGTATTTTTAAAAACAGCCAATACATTTCTTCTTTGAACTATTGCAGTAAACAATAATATTAAATGTTCTTGTAATTTAAAGATGTAATATGAGCTGTATATTTAATAAAGAGCCATGGGGGATTATCATAATATAGAGAACAGAATCTGGTTATTCTTTTTAATGCCACTAATGCAAGTTCAATAAAGCAGATAATCCCATATAAAAAAAAAAGAAAAAAAGCAGCAGAATAATATTTGACATAATAAACCCAGAGCAAATGGCAACAATCTTTCCACTATGGCAAAGAAATACTAATAATTTACACATTTATGAGCTGATAATTAATGAACCCATCAGTTTTTTAAATAAGTCGATATTGGGAAACTCAGAAATATCTCCATTGTGGGACAAATAAAGGATCTCTTAAACTTAAACTTAATCGTAGCAATTTCATGACAGGCCAAGTTTAGTCTTAAGCTGTATTTATTCTATAATGCAGCCAATTTGTGTAGAAAAAGTATGTTTAGTGCCAAATTTAATATTTATCGTCGACAATGAGAGTCCAAACATATACTAAGGATAGAGATTTTATTCTGCTTTATTTTAGATTTAGGATTTTATTAGATATTATTTTATATTAGTATAGAGCTATTATATTTTTTTGTGCTGTGTGCTCCTCATTCTTGCTGATTGTAACTTCTGATACAACACTGAAATTTCCCCACTGTGGGACAGATAAAGGATCTCTTAATCTCAATCAAACAAAGGGGATGTTGCACAGAGATCATGGGAAAGGAGAATGAAGTGAAGTATGAAGGGACTTTGTGGCAGACTATTTTGCAATTTTCTTTTTTCTTCGCAATGTATAAATCCAGAATGATTTCAGCATCATCGAGCAGAGATGGATTTCACGTCGTGCCTGAAGCGGGGAGGCACTGTGCGACAGGAGAACGCCTGCTTGTCTGTGCACGAAGGTCCTTTCATCTCTAACTTTGACACTGGCTCCTCCCAAAGCCAGGTAACAGCTGCACACAAATACTACACAAGGATATATACAAAGATAATGAATAGATATAGTGCTATGTGTTTTGATAATGAACGGTTAATGCAGAGTACCATGGGGCTGTATGAATGCACAGTTTCATTTAATTTAAAAGCAAAACAAATGAACTGGTCATAATCTAGTCACAATTGTTTGCACAGCATCGTCGAATAACAAAATAATCAAACTTTCTGGACTACAGTATAAGCCGCACCTGTATTAGGGATGTACCGATCCAGATTTTTTGTAATCCGATCCGAATCCGATATTCTTAAATATGGTTTTGCGATACCGATCCAATACCGATCCAATTTTTTATCAATCAACTTTATTTGTATGGCGCCTTTCCAACACAAGGCCACTCAAAGCGCCTCACAACCCACATAATATCACACAAATCAGAGACATCAATAAATACATTAAAAACAGAATAAAATCACAAGTAATGGAAAAAAAAAAAAAAACTTAAAATATTAAAAGCACACACGGGATTAAAATAATAAATAACCACAATGCATTAAAAAAAAAGAGTATGTATCAATAAAATCCTTCAGCCGTATGCACAGCTAAAAAGAACAGTTTTTAGCCCTGATTTAAAAATTGCCAGAGTAGATGCTAGCCTCACATCTTCAGGAAGATTGTTCCAGATTTTAGCTCCATAAATCTCAAACGCTGCCTCCCCATGTTTAGTTCTGACTCTTGGAACCAGTAAGAGGCTACCTCCTGTGCTCCTCAGAGTCCGGGCCGGTTCATATGGGACTAACAAGTCGCTTAAGTACCCTGGTGCGAGGCCATGGAGAGACTTGTACACAAGCAGTGCTGCTTTGAAGTCTATTCTCTGAGCCACAGGAAGCCAGTACAGAGACCTGAGAACTGGACTAATGTGGTCATATTTCCTGGTCCTGGTCAGGACTCGAGCTGCAGCATTTTGGACATACTGCAGTTGTTTTACAGCCTGTTTGGAGAGACCTGTGAGCAGGCCATTGCAGTAGTCTAACCTACTGGAGACAAATGCATGGATGAGAATCTCCAGATCTGATTTAGACACTATGTTTCTAATTTTGGCAATGTTTTTCAGATGGTAAAATGCTGTTGATGTTACTGATTTGATATGACTGTTAAAATTTAAGTCTGAGTCCATTATAACTCCTAGGTTTCTGACCTTGCCTACAGGTTCCAGGGAGAGAGACTGGAGGTGACGAATAACGCTCTCTCTTTGTTTCTGAGGACCAAAGACAATCAATTCTGTTTTGTCTGCGTTTAGCTGAAGGAAGTTATTTTGCATCCAATCACTAATCTGTTGAGTACAGTGAAGGAGTGATTCCACTGGTCCATGTTCTCCTGTAGTAAGTGAGACATAAATTTGAGTGTCATCAGCGTAATTGTGGTAGGATACATTGTTGGAGCGTATTAACTGACCTAACGGCAGCATGTAAATATTGAACAGAAGAGGCCCCAGAATTGATCCCTGTGGCACTCCGCAGGTCAGAGCCATATGATCTGAGACACAGTTTCCTATCTGAACCAAGTATTTCCTGTCTTCTAGGTAAGACCTAAACCAACTTAGGGCAGTCCCAGTGACACCCACCCAGTGCTCTAGTCTCTGCATGAGGATCTCGTGGTCGACTGTGTCGAACGCAGCACTCAGATCCAACATTACTAAAACTGTGACTTTTCCTGTGTCGGTGTTAAGTCGGATGTCATTTGTAACCTTCACTAGTGCAGTCTCAGTGCTGTGATTGGCTCTAAAGCCGGACTGGAGCGCATCAAACGAACTATTAGTTACTAAGAATTCTGTAAGTTGTTGGTAAGCAACTTTTTCCAGAATTTTTCCCATAAACGGCAGATTTGAAATGGGGCGATAATTCTTAAGAACTGTGGCATCTAGACTCCTCTTTTTTAGGAGGGGTCTGATGACTGCCGTTTTCAGGGCCATTGGAAATGTTCCAGATGAGAAAGACATGTTCACTATTTGTGTAAGCAAAGGTAAAAGACTGCTCAAAACAGACTTAAAAAATGTAGTGGGTAGTACATCCAGGCTACATGTGGAGGAACTAAGGCTAGAGACAACATCTTGGACAGTTTCATTATCTGTTGGTGCAAAGTGCGATAGCTCAAACAGCCTCACCGGCTGTTGTAATGTTATTTCTGCCTTGGAGGTGATGGCGTTTTTGATGCTCTGAACCTTGTCATTGAAAAATTGTGCAAACTCATTACATTTAGATTCTGAAGCAAATTCGAATGGCAGCTGAACAGGGGGGTTTGTTAATCCGTTAACTGTTGAAAACATAAGTCGTAGATTATTATTGCAGCCATCAATGGTTTTAGAAAAATAAATTTCTCTTGTTCTACGTAGCACCCTGTTAAACTTGCACAACTCATTTTTGAAGATATCATGATCAACCTGGAGATTGGATTTTCGCCACTTCCGCTCGGCCCTACGGCACTCTCTCTTCTGTACCATGACTGAGTCCATTTTAGTCCAGGGGGCCTTTGGCTTATTTGTAATCATTTTAACCTTCACAGGAGCGATGATGTCCAGAACATTTATAACATTGGCGGTGACAGAGTTAAACAATTCGTCAACAGTAGAACACAATGTGTTCTCAAAGTTTATCATTCCCATGAATAGTTCGGTTGTGTTTTCATTTATGTGTCTGTGTCTGACAATTGCAGATTCAGATATATATGGTTGTTTACTATCAAAACACATGTCAAAAAATACACAGAAGTGATCTGACAGAGCCACGTCAACCACATTTACATTTAAAATATTAACCCCCTTTGTAACCAGCAGGTCTAGAGTGTGCCCTTTGCTGTGGGTGGGGCCACTCACGTGCTGAGTGAGACCAAATGTTTCAAGTACAGAACTCAGCTCTTTTGCATTTTTGTCATTGCCATTATCCACATGAATATTAAAATCACCTGTAATCACTAAACTATCAAAATCGGTGCAAACAACTGAAAGCAACTCAGTGAAATTATCAAAGAAATTGTGACAAGACTGCGGTGGCTTGTACAGGACAATGATAAGAATAGAAGGAGATTGTTTTTGTTCTATTTTAAAAGAAATATACTCAAATGATAGAAAATTTCCAAGGAGAATTCTATGAGAGATAATACGATCTCTAAATAATGCAGCAATGCCTCCCCCCCTTTTATTTTCTCGTATTTCAGATTCAAATTTGAAGTTTGGTGGCGTTGCTTCTATTAAAACCGCATTACCTGTACTCTGGTCAAGCCAAGTTTCAGTCAGAAACAAAAAATCAAGATCATAAGAACGGATAAAATTATTAATTAAAAATGATTTGTTGCACAGTGATCTGACATTAAGCATAGCAATTTTAAAATTAATATCAGTAACAGTGGGTTTAGTTAATTGATTTTTACAAGGAGCAGGAATTAGATTTGAATGTCTAACTGCTGTCCTTCTGTTATGATTTTGTTTTCCATTCAAATAAAAACATTTTTTGAAACTGATGCGAGGAACACACACAGTTTCTATTTGTCTAACATGTGAACTCTTTTGCTGTGTAAGTCCCGGATTCAGGACGGCATTGCTTCGTTGTTTAGAGCAGGAGGCAGCACGGTTCAGAGGCGAGACTGTTATTTCACTGCCAGACGGAAAGGGGTCAGTGTTTGCACCACAGTACTCACCCGGTGCTGGTGAGCAGGAGAAGAAGGAGGAGGGTGGTGGTGGTGGGGGCTCCGATGTAAACAGTCACGCCCCCCTCGGGGAACACTGAATAACGTTGCGTAGGTAATCCGTCAACAAGCTGGTGCCATATCTATTTGGGTGCAGACCGTCTGGACGATAAGCCACGTGACGCTTCCAGAAAAGGCCAATAATAATAGTAGTAAAGATTTTTCAACCAGTTTCATATTCCAAATACAAAATTAAATGGTGGAGTTTTATCTTGCATTTAGTTAACGGCAGCCGTAAAGCGGGAGCATGCTGAAAAGTGACGTAAATCGGCTTCATATTTAACAAATCCGATCCTTACAAAATACCCATATCGGCCCCTGATACCGATACTGAATATCGGATCGGTACATCCCTAACCTGTATATTAGCCGCACCAACTAAATTAGAGAAGAAAGTCAATTCTGTCCATATATAGGCCACACTTGATTATAAGCCGCAGGTTTTCATGTTATAATGTAGCAGAGAGACAACGATTTAAACTGGACACAACATAATTTAATGATGAGATTAGCGTCCATGACTCATTCACCTCAATCTATTTGGACAATTAACAAGTGTCCTATAGCAACTCAAAGTTGATGGAGTCTTAATAATAAGTCTGCTCTGCTCTGACAACTCCACAATAAACCACAACAAAAATACACATATTAGCCGCATCGCTATATATAAGCCGCACAGGGCATTCAAAAAACACAAAAAAACATGAAAACACAGGAAATGTCAATTTTCAAAAGGTTCAAATGCAGAATGTAATGTGTTGGTGTGTTTGCAGAGCCGCCTCTCTGGTCCGCGCCTCGGCGTCCGGAACAATGTGACGGTCATGAGCGAGCGCATTCGCCACCTGGAAGAAGAACTAGTGTCCCAAGCCCAGCTCCTGAAGTAAACTTTGGCCTCGACACAGAGAGAGACACAGAGAGAGAGAGACACAGAGAGAGACACAGAGAGAGAGAGACACAGAGAGAGACACAGAGAGAGACACAGAGAGAGACACAGAGAGAGACACAGAGAGAGACACAGAGAGACACAGAGAGAGACACAGAGAGACACAGAGAGAGACACAGAGAGACACAGAGAGAGACACAGAGAGAGACACAGAGAGAGACACAGAGAGAGACACAGAGAGAGACACAGAGAGAGACACAGAGAGAGAGAGAGACACAGAGAGAGAGAGACACAGAGAGAGAGAGACACAGAGAGAGACACACAGAGAGAGAGACACAGAGAGAGACACAGAGAGAGAGAGACACAGAGAGAGACACAGAGAGAGACACAGAGAGAGAGAGACACAGAGAGAGAGACACAGAGAGAGACACAGAGAGAGACACAGAGACACAGAGAGAGACACAGAGAGACACAGAGAGAGACACAGAGAGAGACACAGAGAGAGACACAGAGAGAGACACAGAGAGAGACACAGAGAGAGAGAGAGACACAGAGAGAGAGAGACACAGAGAGAGAGAGACACACAGAGAGAGAGACACAGAGAGAGAGAGACACAGAGAGAGACACAGAGAGAGACACACAGAGAGAGAGAGACACAGAGAGAGAGAGAGACACAGAGAGAGAGACACACAGAGAGAGAGAGACACAGCGAGAGAAACAGAGACACACTGCTAAGACGTCATCAAAGTGGATCTGAGGTTATTGTAAACCCACACAACACACCACTTTACATAATCTGGAGAAAATGACGCAGGGGTCTGGGGTCGTGTCACAGACAGAAACATGTTTTAATGATGTTAAAACGACAAGACCAAAGATTTTCAGAATTGATTATTAAACCATGGCTCCAATCAGCAGTTGCCACGGTGCCAGTAGCTTCGGCCTTCAGAAAACCAAAACATTCAAGTAATGTCTGGTGATTTTCCACCAGCTCCAGCTTAGTTTTATAAGAAAGGCTGCCTTAAGGATAACCAACATTGCTTAGAAATATCCATAAATCTAATGCCATAGGATGTGTTCTTTAAATGCAACTTCTAATGTTTGAAAGTCCTTAGAAGTTGTTGTCCTCTTGAAGTCGCCTTTATGTTTGATAATTTCCTATGTTGAACTATGAGCAAAGTGTGTGCCTGTACTTTGTGTGATGTGTGTTTTGTGTGGCAGGGAGGTGGAGCTGAGAGCAGACTGCAGCCAGGAGGAAGCGGCCCACAGTGAGATGGTGCTGCAGTCTCTAACGGAGGAGGTCCAGGCTCTCAGGGACCAGATGGAGAACAAAACTGCCCTCTGCAAACGGTTCCTAGATTTTTATTATTATCAAGTGCTGTTTTTTATCTACTGCATGTGTTCCTCTTGGGGTCACGCTGTCATGAAAAATGGACTGGAATGGACTGTACCAACAAACCGCTAACACCACTATTCACAGGTCTCTACAATGTCTACTGTACATTTCTGCATCGTGAGGACTGCTAGACTGTCAATAAATAATGTAGATAATATAAATAAAATAATTACAATAAATAAAATAAATAATATAGATAATATAGATACAATTAATGCAAAAATTAAATAAATATTAAATGAAATAGGGGCGACAGTAGCTCAGTTGGTAGAGCATTGGCCTTAAGGCCTGAAGGTCGTGGGTTCAATTCCCACCTCTACACCTTCTCCACCGACTCCCACTGATGACTGCTGTCGTTGTGTCCTTGGGCAAGACACTTAACCCCACTTTGCCCAAAGCCCCCACTGAAAGATCAAGGCTATGCTCTCACTCCGAGAGCAGCCGTCCTCCTGTGGACTCACCACCTGCAGAGGATCAGTGAGGGGCTGGTGCTATGAGACTTGGGTGGCATCTCTGATTGCCACCCCCCTGACCCAGAAATGGATTAAAGGGTAGAAAATGGATGGATGGATAAATTAAATAAATTAAATCGATAAATAAACAAAAAATGCAAATGAAAAGTACATAAATAAAATAAATAATACTTATAATGCATGGGTTTTATTCGGCCCCCTTGAACCTTTCAACATTTCACCACATTTCAGGCTTCAAACATAAAGATATAAAATTTTAATTTTTTGTCATGAATCAACAACAAGTGGGACACAATCGTGAAGTGGAATGAAATTTGTTGGATAATTTAAACTTTTTTAACAAATAAAAAACTGAAAAGTGGGGCGTGCAATATTATTCGGCCCCTTTACTTTCAGTGCAGCAAACTCAGTCCAGAAGTTCAGTGAGGATCTTTGAATGATCCAATGTTGTCCTAAATGACTGATGATGATAAATAGAATGCACCTGTGTGTAATCAAGTCTCTGTATAAATGCACCTGCTCTTTGATAGTCTCAGGGTTCTGTTTAAAGCGCAGAGAGAACCATGAAGACAAAGGAACACACCAGGCAGCTCAGAGATACTGTTGTGGAGAAGTTTAAAGCCGGATTTGGATACAAAAAGATTTCCCAAGCTTTGTATCCAAATCCGGCTTTAAACTTCTCCACAACAGTATCTCGTTTGCTGCACTGAAAGTAAAGGGGCCAAATAATATTGCACGCCCCACTTTTCAGTTTTTTATTTGTTAAAAAAGTTTAAATTATCCAATAAATTTCGTTCCACTTCACGATTGTGTCCCACTTGTTGTTGATTCATGACAAAAAATTTAAATTTTATATCTTTATGTTTGAAGCCTGAAATGTGGCGAAATGTTGAAAGGTTTCGCAAGGCACTGTACATACAGTAGCACTTTTTTGTATGTAATTATTCATATCATTATTCATTTACTGCCCTGGGACACACCAGGCTGTGCCATCGCCCCCTCCCACCACCAAACATGCACACACCAAACTCCTTCTAGGCTGAAGTGAAGTGTCTTGCCTAAGGACACGGCAACAGTTTGGCACTGTACAGCCGCGGCCGCCCCACTGCGGTACCTGCTGTTGTCCCAGAGGTCTCCCATCACAGTACTAACCAGGCCCTGCCCTGCACAGCTTCAGAGGTTTCACAGGATCTGGCTTTCACCTGCAGGTACGCCATAATCAACCGTTTTAAAAGGTTGTTTTTCTCATTTCTCCAGAGCTGAACTGCAGAGAAACACAGCCCTGGAAAACGCAGAGAAGCTCAAAGAAGCGTTTTGTCAATTCAAAGCCACGACTTCGATTAAACTCAAAAAGGTTCGTTCAAATTCACCAAAACAGACGTCAGTACTGTGTAGTGAGACCAGAGAGAGAGACCAAGAGCGAGACCAGAGAGAGCGAGACCAGAGAGAGCGAGACCAGAGAGAGCGAGACCAGAGAGAGCGAGACCAGAGAGAGCGAGACCAGAGAGAGCGAGACCAGAGAGAGCGAGACCAGAGAGAGAGAGAGGACGGTGAGATGTCTGTTCTGGAGGCTCTTTATGATTCTAGACTCTTAAATTCAGCTCTTAGAATAATCCCTGACTCTTCTGGCCCCTGGAAAAGCAATGTTCCAGCTTCTTCCCTCTGGCAGAATATATCGTTCTCTGAGATGCAGGACATGCCAACAGCTTCTTTCTACTGATATCAGTCTGAACAAAGCACTTTCATGATCTTGCACTTTGTATTGAAGCTGTTATTGTTGTCTGGGGCGCACTGGGGACTCTCGCACAAGTATTCCAATGTGGTTTTACTGCAAGTGAAAAATAAAGTCACATGTTTCTCTTCAGCTGCTGGACAGTGAGAACAAACTCAAAGAAAGTGTGAGGAGCTGTAACGTAGAGAAGGAAGAGCTGGTGCTGAGGTGCTCCGTGCTGCAGGAGGAGAGAGAGCGACTGCACCACTCCATCAGGTCAGTGTCTGCATCACTCCATCAGGTCAGTGTCTGCACCACTCCATCAGGTCAGTGTCTGCACCACTCCATCAGGTCAGTGTCTGCACCTCTCCATCAGGTCAGTGTCTGCACCACTCCATCAGGTCAGTGTCTGCATCACTCCATCAGGTCAGTGTCTGCACCACTCCATCAGGTCAGTGTCTGCACCACTCCGGCATCAGGTCAGTGTCTGCACCACTCCATCAGGTCAGTGTCTGCACCACTCCATCAGGTCAGTGTCTGCACCACTCCATCAGGTCAGTGTCTGCACCTCTCCATCAGGTCAGTGTCTGCACCACTCCATCAGGTCAGTGTCTGCATCACTCCATCAGGTCAGTGTCTGCACCACTCCATCAGGTCAGTGTCTGCATCACTCCATCAGGTCAGTGTCTGCATCACTCCATCAGGTCAGTGTCTGCATCACTCCATCAGGTCAGTGTCTGCACCACTCCATCAGGTCAGTGTCTGCATCACTCCATCAGGTCAGTGTCTGCATCACTCCATCAGGTCAGTGTCTGCACCACTCCATCAGGTCAGTGTCTGCATCACTCCATCAGGTCAGTGTCTGCATCACTCCATCAGGTCAGTGTCTGCACCACTCCATCAGGTCAGTGTCTGCATCACTCCATCAGGTCAGTGTCTGCATCACTCCATCAGGTCAGTGTCTGATATAGGTTTCGACCTCTTCTCTGTTATAATAAAGTCATGTTGGTTCGGTTTCTAATGTGACTCATGTCCATTGGGACATATTTATGTTGACATCATGTGGACATAAAGTGGCCTGAAAAACTAGTTTTTCAACTCCTCAGTGTCACTCCTGGACCTGTGAGACCAAGCACAGGTGCGAGGAGTGGGCCTGACCTGTGACCTGAGCTGCACTTGGCCTCCTCTTCCTCAGCGCTGATGTCATAGATTGAGACTTTGTCCTAAGTGAAGGTGTTGTGTGCAGTGGTCTTCAGGAGGAGCTGCAGGAGCTGAAGCTGAGCTCCTCAGAGCGCTCTCTGCTGCAGCAGCAGCTGGAGGAGGCGGGCCGCAGGGTCAGTGCCATGGAGCAGCAGCTGCAGGAGCGAGCGGCCGACTGCAGGGACATGTCTGCTCTGCACAGGGAGCTGCAGGAGCTGAGGGGGCGGAGCCAGAGCCAGGAGCTGCAGCAGAGCAGAGCACAACTGCAGAGTCTGGAGAGTGTGCTGCAGCTGCTGCACCTGCAGGAGGTGGGTCCTCCTCATCTTTTTTTTCTCTCTCTCTCTCTCTCTCTCTCTCTCTCTCTCTCTCTCTCTCTCTCTCTCTCTTTCTCTTTCTCTTTCTCTTTCTCTTTCTCTTTCTCTTTCTCTCTTTCTCTCTTTCTCTCTCTTTTTCTCTCTCTTTTTCTCTCTCTGATTAGTAATTATTTAAAGCAGCCTCAGTGTTTAGCCTTTTGTAATTTACCTGAAATAAGTGCACTTAATTACATTTTAAGTGGTATCTATCTTAATTCTTCACCAGGGTGGGTCTGGGCCACTTTGTGCTCGGCCCTGCATGCTGCCCCCTCTGGACTACTCAGGAACTGCACACATGATGCAACTACAAGCAGGTGCTTGATTGATAATGCATTGATATGATTGTAAATTTAATTATTAAGTTGTGACCATGATAGTATTAGCACAGAGATAAAAGTGACCTCCTGCCTCACTCCCACCTCCCTCCTTCGTTCTGCCTCCCTCCCAGGTGAGGGGTACCAGCAGCTGCTGAAGGCCCTCCAGGCTGTAGAGTCTGAGCGGTGCAAACAGCAGCGAGCAGCAGAGAGGCTGCAGGAGCGTCTGGCTCGAGCCCAGGAGGAGGTCTCTTCTCTGCAGAGCTCCATGGCTCAGAGGGCCTCCCACTACCAGAACCTCCACTGCCAGCTCCTGGACAAAGTCAGCCAGGCCACGGACACTGAGAAAGAGGTTTGGGGTGTGATGTGCTGAATCTTTTAACTGTCAATTCTATGCATATTTCAATATTAGAATAGAATTGATTCTTTATTTAGTTGTTCCTCTTTTTAGAGAGCTTTGTGAATATATCCTTTTGGTCTTATCGGAAATGGGTTGTGTACATGTTCTAGAATTGTCGGGTGGTTGTGGTCCACAAGGGGCAGAGACCGATGTCCATAAATGTGGTTGAATGTGTAGTGTCCTGGATCAGCACCAGAAACAACAGTACTATTGTTTCTGTGTGATGTAACATTACCACCAGTTGACAGCCTGCAGTGACGTCCAATTCCTATTTAAAAGTTTATGTTTCACGGTAGATTTGCGGTCAGCGCAGTGCACACATCCAGCAGCGAGAGGAACATGTAACGCCCTCTGGGATCAATGAAGCAGTGAGGGTGTAATATCGATGACACGGGTCATCGGGAAAATCACGTGAAAGGAAACTAAACAATAATGTTATAGCAATACTTTTATTAGCGCTTGTGACAATAATTGGATACATATATTAGTTTAAACAGGGGTGTCCAAACTTGTACTAAGCCACATGCTCAGAGACAGAAAGTGGAGAGCGAGATAGATAGATACTTTGATCCCTGTAGGAGAAACTCAGGTGTCCAGAAGCAGAAACTCATCCATCCATCCATACAGGCAAATAATTCACAAGGTAATAAAGTGAATCAGCGCAGAGGTGGTGTAGCCGCTGGTGATGAGCTGCTTCTATCCTCTGGTTGATGAGTGGTTTAGACTGAAAATTCAGAAATTCTGCTTTATTAGCATTTCATTTTTTTTTTTTAGCATTCCTCCAGGGCTGATCTGCTTGGTTTGGACGGTGAATCCTCTCTGCTCTGGTCTGGATCAGTGTAAAACCATGAACCCTGTACTGCAGTAGCAACAACAAGTGTTTCAGAGATAGTTAGTATTTTCTGCCGTTTCCAGCGCATTCACAAGAAACATAAGAGTTGAAAGTGAAATGTAGGAGGTGTGAGTGGAGAGCGAGGTCTTGTCTTGTAAAAACCTGTAAATATGGATTGATCTTTACGAACTGTTAATCTTTCTAAAGTTGAAGAGGAAGAGCGCTCGTGTGGCTGCTCTGGAGAAGCAGCTCCAGGAGAAGACCTCGGCCTACAGCCAGGCCGCCCTGAGGAACACCGAGCTGGAGAAGACACTGCAGGTCACACACACTACCTCAACTTTTACAAATTAGATCCTCATTCACTGCTGACTTATACCGTAGCTATTTTTCACTACAATGAATGTACAAAAAAAAATAATGCTGAAACAAAAATACTGCGCGCACACACACACGTTTGTATCCTTATGTGTGTAGCTACCTGAATGTGAAAGCATGATCCCGACGTGTGTGTGTGTGTGTGTGTGTGTGTGTGTGTGTGTGTGTGTGTGTGTGTGTGTGTGTGTGTGTGTGTGTGTGTGTGTGTGTGTGTGTGTGTGTGTGTGTGTGTGTGTGTGTGTGTGTGTGTGTGTGTGTGTAGTTTATCACCACGTGCGTAATTAAGAAATCCTTTATTCGTCCCAATGTGGGTAAATTTGCAATGTTGCATCACAAGTTACAGAACAGTAGGAGCACACAAGATAAATGCACAACAACTCTATACTAAATATAATACAATAAAATCTCTAACTTAAGCATATTAAAGAAGCAGAACAAAAAAAATCTAGCCTTAGCATAATAAGGAACTACTTTTGCATTATGAAGACGCAAGAATTAAGTACATCTGACTTTAGCATCTCTGGGTGTCAAGTACTGTGCTTTATTATTATTATAATTTAAAAACGTACCTTTTACCTGCAGGAAAAGAGCAGTACAGTGGAGCACTATCAGACCCTGATGGGCAAAAAGCAGCGTGAATACCAACAGTCCCTGGACAAGTGTAAGAAGACGAACGCACACACATCGATGGAGCAGCAGCACAGAATGGACCTGGTGAGTGTATTATTTTTAAAAACAAATATCATGCATTATTTGGGATCATTTTAGCCATAAACCTTTTGAATCTGGCCTTCACTAAAAAGACTTGCGCATAAAAACATCATATTTAAGTGATCAGGACTTTGAGGTCATTGTAAAGTGCTTTGGGTCACCTTGGTCTGTATAATGCGCTATTTAGATAAACATAATTACAACTGTCGCAGCAAAGAACGCCAACCCACAGGTGTTAGCTAGTCCATACAACAGAGACATGACTGAAGAGGCCGTAACCTTACAGACCCGGTCACTTGAATATTATGTCTTTTGTTTGTCCATTTTGTGAAGACCAGATTCAACACAAGTCAAACAAAGTGGTTCCTTGTGTGTGTAGTTGGAGACATCTGTGAAAGAAGCTCAGATGCGTCTGTTGGAGATGGAGGAACTGTTTGCTTCTGTGCAGACGGAGCGGGACGAGGCTCAGAACATGGCTCTTCTTCTCCAGAGCAGCGTGGACAGACTCACTCAGGTGAAATGTGGATCAAACTGCACACACAAAATGGCATAGTTCTGGTTTTCTTTAATTACTTGGTTGCCTTCCAAGGAGAAATGTTTTTAAGAGGGGAGCGCACAGATCAGCTCAGCCTCAGGCCCAGTTTATACGGAGACGCTGCGCAGACGTTGCCAAGCTATTAACAGAAACGACCAGGCTCCTAATGCAAATTTCACAGCGTTCATACGACGTTCACACTAGCGCCTGGCCAGTAGTGGGCAGAGAAACTTTACAACACGACACATGTCGGTTCCAGGGGGGTGAAAACTTAATTGTTCAGATCCAGCCTGCAGAGTGGGACAGCTCAGAAACGCAGGATAATTCTACTCCTTTGTTCGTCCAAACGAGACCGCGCAAAGCTCTAGGTTCAGTTTCCATTTTCACAGCTGCTGTTAAAATGCAGAATGATGTTGGTGCGTTCTGAGGGTCTGGCAGCGGAAGTGAGTATACTGCCGGGAGAGGAGGGGGGCATGGGGCTGGGGGTTGGGTGTGTGTTGTAAAGTTCCTCTGCCCACTACTGGCCGGGCGCTAGAACTACATCGTTTTTCAACCTCGTATGAACGCTGAGAAATTTGCATTAGGAGCCTGTTTCTGTTAATAGCCTGGAAACGTCTGCGCAGCGTCTCAGTATAAACTCAGCCTGAGCTGTCCCACTCTGAGGCTGGATCTGAACACTTACGTTTTCACCCCCCTGGAGCACACTCTCCGTATGAACTGCCGTGTTGTCTCCGTATATAAACAGGGCCTCAGAGAACCTGCAAGTCCTTTTGGAAACCAACAGAGAACAAAAGACCTTTTGTATTAGCATGTACAAATAATAATCATAATAATAATAATAATCTTTATTTGTATAGCACTTTTAAAAACAATGTTTACAAAGCGCTGCACAGTCAGCATGATAAACAATAAAAACAGTCATAATACAAGGTCAAAATAATTAGATACAGAAACACAAAGCAAACAGAGCAAAACACAAAAGAGACACAACAAAGACAAAGCAGACATTAAAATACAGCATGTGAAGTTTAAAACTAACAGTTAAAAGCTGTTTGATAAAAGTGGGTTTTAAGAAGAGATTTAAAAGAGGAGACTGATGGTGCTAGCCTTATCTCCTCGGGTGGTTCCAAAGCCGAGGAGCCCGGACAGAGAAGGCTCGGTCACCTTTCGTCCGGAGCCTCGACCTTGGAACAGTCAACATGGACCTGCCCGAGGATCTAAGGCTCGTAGGGGGTTAAAAGTTCAGAAATAAAACGAGCTTTAAAAGTTATCAGTAAAATCTTAAAATCTATTCTAAAAAGCACAGGGAGCCAGTGGAGAGACGCTAAAACAGGGGTGATGTGCTCCCTTCTGTTAAAACCAGTGAGAAGTCTGGCTGCTGCGTTCTGGACCAGTTGGAGGCGGGAGAGGGATTTAGCGTCGAGACCGGAGAGGAGGGAGTTGCAGTAGTCGAGGCGGGAGAAGATGAGGGCGTTGACAACTTTATGGAGATCGGGAGGAGTGAGGATGTTTTTAATCTTTGAGATGGTGCGGAGGTGAAAGAAGCAGGTTTGGGTGGTTTTATTGATGTGGGAGCGGAAGGTGAGGTGAGAATCGAAAATGACACCAAGGTTACGGGCGGAGGGAGTGATGTTTGAGGATAGGGTGCCGAGGTGGGTTTGGATGTGGGATATAGATGGAGACGGGTTGATGAGGAGGACTTCTGATTTGGAGGTTTAGAGTTGAAGGAAGTTATGGGCCATCCGTCGGTTCACATCGTTAAAACAGTCGACCACAGCAGCCAGACTTCCGGGGTCGTTTGGTCTCAGCGGGAGGTAGATCTGTGTGTCGTCCGCATAGCAGTGGAAGGACACAAAACGACAAAGCCGGCTTCCTCCTGGAAAATGGATTAATATACAAACGCCCTTGGCCCAGACTGGCTGGAGCCGAGGTGAATTACAATACAATCATTTCAGTATACCCATATATATTTACTCACATATGACTTATTAAAATGACAACTTAAACAACATTCCAATCTCAAATCCATTGATTCCATTGTATATTTGAACTTGTGTATTTTCTGTAGGAGAAGGAGCAAGAAGAAAAGCACTGTCAGGAGCTGCAGCAGAGATTAGCAGAGGAATCCACTCAGTCTAAGGCCAAGGTCTGAAAATATAAAAGTGCATATTGAATGTGTTTGAAAAAGGGGAAGTATTGATGTCACAAGTATGGTGTGTAGATGGTAGAAAAGAGGCTGGACCACAAGTTTCTTAGAAGTTTATGAATAATAAACAGAGCTGTGGCCCTAGGTTAGCATGCGATGAAGTGAGAGCAGATAAATATACCAACAATATATTTATACTGTCGGTGTAAAGATTACATCAAGGAACTTCAAAACACTGGTCCTGGGACACTGCAGGCAAAGTCCATTGGGTAAAGTTCAGACCAGGAAGGACCCCAGGGACCTTCAGAATGGATCTCTATCAGGCTTTACATCAACAGACCCTGGTAACTTCAAGTATAGTAATTCGTATTGTACCAATTTATTTCAAGCTTTCAAGATACAACTAAAACATTATATAAACTTTTATTCATTCCGCATTCACAGGCTCCAAAACTCTCTGACCCTACACCCTTCCTCCTCATAGTTCTTGAGTACATTTTAGATTGGATATTTTTTAACAGAATCATATTTGAACCATTTTTAAATGCATATGGTAAATAGTTGCTAACTTACTTGTTAGATGCTGACTTTCTAAATTCATATATATATATATATATATATATATATATATATATATATATATATATATATATATATATATATATATATATATATATATGTATATATATATATATATATATATATATGTATATATATATATATATACTAAATACATATACTAGTTTGTGAATTTGGTGAGGACATGTTTCCAAATGCCCTGAACATTATTTGTACAGTTTTACTTCTATAAGCAGTGGATTAGAATGATTAGATAACACCAGAATGGCCTTTTTTAACCAATGTTTTTAGAGGTTTAAAAACAGTATCTGAAATAACCCAAATAAATGTACGTAATGTGTGTTGGCAGATGTCAGAGCTTCAGTCGTCTCTTTCCACTTGTGAAAACCAGCTCAGTGTGAATCTGCAGAATATGGAGGAGACACACAGGAGATATGACGCACAACTGCAAAAGAGCAACGCCCTGGTACTCCTCGCACTTATCATTTCCATCCATCCATTTCCATCTCCTTTATCCATTTCTGGGTCGAGGTCTCTGCCAGCCTCCCGACTCAGAGCACCAGCCCCTCACTGCAGGTGGGGGGTCCTCAGATTTTTCAGCGGGGGCTTCAGGCAAAGTGGGGTTAAGTGTCTTGCCGAGGGACGCACAGATGACAGCTGACATCAGTGGGAGTTGATCGAGTAGCTCTCGTGGGGGGATCAAACCCACGACCTCCAGACCCAAAGGCCAACCAACTGAGCCACTGTCGCCCAACGTCCACTCAGTTCCTGCTGGCGAATGTATTCAACCAAAGTCTGGTCCAGAGAAACTTCTCACAACTTTTGACCTTGTTATAAACCTCATTCCCACTGAGGAAAAACACAGGAATTTAGAAAATCCCAAATCGTCTCTTCTTCACCCGTTCAGCGACACTATCAGCACTCTCCCTTCTCAGCAAGAAGGCCCTGGGTTTGAATCCCAGTCGGAACAGGGCCTTTCCGAGTGTTCTCCCTGTTTCTGCGTAGGTTTCCTCCAGGTACTCCGGTTTCGCTTACCACTAAAAACATGTGATTCTGGTCTGAAAGTTGCCATATTAACAAAGAGAACTTACTTACTTACAGAACAACTCTTTAACCCGCCGTGCGACCTACTCTCTTTGCCTGGTGTGTTCAGTGGGAACACTGACCAAATATTGTGGTAATTTAGACAGCAATCAAACTGTTAAGTCTGTTGCTTATGTGTGGGTTAGGAGAAGGTTGTAAAACAGTCACACAATGGACAACACCAAAATAAAGAAAAGGACTTTGACATAAGAATAGTTCAGTTTGTGAATCTAATCTCTATCAAATAATGATCAGGTCAAAAATGTGTTCTTTCTGACAGAGTTGTATTGACACCTGCCTCCATCTGAAATAGAATTCTACAACATGGAGTTATCCTAATGAGACTTGTTCTTGGTTCCACTGTGTGTGAAAGCTCCTGATGTTTCCCAAACACACACAGACAGTAATGGTTCGGTGATTGTGATGTGTCCAGGTGGCCTCTCTGCAGGAGAAGCTGCACAGCACAGCGCTGGTTTGTCACACGGCCTCTGAACACAACACGCAGCTGCAGCAGTCTCTGGAGCAGAGCCAGGCCATGCTCAGTGAAGGAAGCACCAGGATCTCTGAGCTGGAGGACAGTCAGAGCCAGCTGCAGAAACAGGTAGGCCACTCCTGGGGACTCATCACGGCTACATCCATAAAATGAATTTATGGGAATAATGACAGAGGACGCTTGACATTCAACAATATTTATGGACATCGGTCTCTGCCCCTATTGGCTCTATGTGTTCTATCATTGTATTTATTGTGATTGAACAGTTTGATTCTCTGATCTTTGTTGGCGAGTTCAACAGTTCTGAAAAGTCCTCCAAAATAACTATTGTTGTGATTTAGGGTGATACAAAAATACATAGAATTGAATTTATTCTTGTAAAGCAGTAGTTAACTGGGAATTTTTAATATTGAAGTTTGGCTCTTTTTGAGAATTTATATTTGAGGACAGAATAGTTTAGCATAACGCCTCATTCCCATGCCTGTAGCACACTGCTATTGAGACAACGCCCCCTACTGGTCACTGTACATGTCTTCATCACATGTACACAGTTCTAGACTGGACCAGACCCCCTCTTTACTGATAATAGATAACTAGTTTATTTCAGACTGTTTCTATAAATAAAGATTACTTATTTACTGGAGTGGACTAACCGAGAGCTCACGTCAAAGCAGAAGCTGATTTGATCATAAGCTAATCTCCTTATATGGACATGTTGGTGACGGGGGGTGACCTACGGGACATGGCAGGGGCCGATGCAAACTAAAATGTTGCTAATGTGGTTGTTAAGGCATGCTGCAGTTTCCACAATGAATGAAGGCATCTGATTGGTCAACCCTCATGGCTCAAATATGGAGTAAGACGATATCAAAATATAAACATAGATGGTGCTAAACCACTGATTTTAAAACCCAAATGTCCGTATTTGGAGTGGACTAACCGAGAGCTCATGTCAAAGCAGAAGAAGCTGATTTGATCATAAGCTAATCTCCTTATATGGACATGTTGGTGACGGGGGGGACCTAGCAGGGGCCGATGCAAACTAAAATGTTGCTAATGTTTTCTTTTGTTTATTTAATTAATTTAAAAACAAATGCAGCAACATCATTTAGTATGAATGAAAAGGAGCAGAAAGAAGTAAAAACTTATATTATCTGCCCCTATCAACTCAAAATCATTTACAGTTCCAGTGCTTTTGAGCCTCTAATGCAACTCTGACAATTCCAAACAAAATTATAATTACAGGTATTTCTACAACATCTATAATTTTGCAGACAATCCAGACTGTTCCAGATCGACTCCTTTGATTGAGATACAGTTTTACGTATCTCAATGTATATTCTGCTAATGTGTTTGATGAGGGACGCTGGTGTTTCCTCAATGAGGCATCTGATTGGTCAACTCTTATGACTCAAATATGGAGTTAGACGATATCAAAATATAAACATAGAGGGTGCTGAACGACTGATTTTAAAACCCAAAATGGTGAGTATGTCTCACATTGTGACTGAGTTTACTTTTCAGGTCAATAGGAGCCAAAAGGTTTGTTCATGAGCTTTGTCCTTTTTTATACAGTCTATGCTTTACCTCCAACCTTATGGAAATATTTAATCTAACTGATCGGTTATATCATAGATCAGGCCATGTTCAATGCAAAAAGTGAAAAAACAAGAATTGTGAATGGTGAATGAGAAAAAAAATCCTGCTTATCCCATTATTTAATATATTTTGTCAATTCTAAATCTTAAAACAAATACCATTTATATATTTATTCATGTTTTGTCTGTAAGTGTCTGTATATACATTTGAATTGACCTTAAATCCATCTAAAGTGTTTCCTCACATAACCCCAGCGCCTGGAGGACTGATGCTGCTCATATGATCTCACAAACTCACAAAGTCTAACCTCCTCCTCCTGTTTTTGGAGCTTCAGCTCTGAAAAATTCTATGGGTCAGACATGCATTCTTTGGTCTCATACTTTTATATAGATTAAAATGGTGCATTACAACTTAAAAATCACTAACAGATTAATTGACCGTCACCATGCAGCCGGTTTAAGTGGCCCAAACTCATGACACTGTGAGTCCGAAGGTTTTTTGATCAGAGAAAATGTCCTGTTTGATTACAGGAGGCTCAGTCGTCCATCATGGGTATTGCGGCTTCCTGCAGACCTGAGCCGCTGAGCCAGAGTCAGAGTGGGTCCTGTAAATGTGTAGACTGGTTTTGAATCCTTTGCTAAAGAAGTCCTGACCCAGTATTGTGTTTTAAAGTGATTTATTGACTTGTATAGTGCAGCAAACAAAATAAGGAAAATTATAAACTGTAACATATGACCTGATGTGAGCAAACAAAATGAAAAACGGACGCCAAAAAACACGACTACCTACTCTGTCCTGACTTATCACTTGTCTGACAGATTCTCGTGCACTTTTTACACTTTCACCCAGTGTGTCCTGATCTGTCTCCTACAATGGGTTTGATCGGTGTTGTGTAATTCTTTCGTGTTTGCAATTTCTCCAAATGTTTTGCGACTAGAACTCGGGTAGAATAGACTGTAAATAGAGCTTTCCAAACCAGTCCTTGTGAAACGCTGCGAGGGCCACATCTCCAGCCCTCAACGTTTCCACGCAGTGTTTACCAAAACTGTGGGTTGCATATTTATTTATAGGCAACTGTTGATCGATAGTGATGAAGAAGCCATTTTCCTAGAAGCTCTTGGGAGTATTATCTTAACCATCACTTTAATCCTGAGGCGTCAAATTAATTCATTGGATTTATGTGGCATTTGACTTATTATGTGACTGTTATAGAAATCTTAACTAAATCTGAATTTACACTGAATATAATATGTCCAGGTTACACTGATTCTGTTCTAATTAGATGGGAGATACAGGTCTTTGGCAATATCTGTCTCAAAGAACAGATAATAATCATATCAATCACCAGTCAGAATCAGATGATATGGGCTGAATTTGAATCAAGATTTAAGGATTAGTTGATAACTTGCTCTTCTAGCTATTCAGTGTTCATTCTGATTTATATACTATAAGATTTCATGTATTATCAAATGTGTTACCTATGTGTTATAATTATCCATGTTTCGGAAGTATCCTGCCAAAACATATAAACAGGTAATTAAGCAGTGCTAGCTTCTTTACATATTTTGCCTTATTAAAAGAACCTTCACTAGTCGCTTTACCTGCTGATACTGTTACTATTGTTTATTCTGCTCATATTCTCCGCTGCTTAAGTACAATATACACATCTGTAAATACTTCTGAACCAAGTGCAATTATAGCTCCAGAGTTTATTTCATTTCGTTTCATTTTTATCCCTTTATTATCCATTTCTGGGTCGGGGGGTGGCATTCAGAGCTGCCAACCAAATCACAAAGCACCAGTCCTATTCTAATTCTACTGTATTATCTTAAAGAATAGACTCTGTTTGTTGTGTGCAATCTGGGTGCTCTTATTTATCTTATCTTAAACCTTATACATAGACAAACAAAGACAAAATCAACTGTTTACATGTCGTTTGTGTGTAAACGTCTTGAGTGCCTACAAACTCTTCAGACTCAAGTCCTTCTGGTCTGTAGATAAGTGTTGATGTCACATGTGGCCGCGGTGCTGAGGCTTCAGGTTTGATAAACATGTGATGAGAAAGACACAGTGGATTTTGCCTCCAGCACAAATATGTGGTTCAAACTTTACAAACAGCCTCTTTCCGTAGTTTGGATTCTTGTGATTTTCTACATCGGGCTCGTTACGTAGATAAGGAGAAATGCACTTGCGAGAAATATGTGTTTTCAGATTCTCCCTGTACCCTTTTCTGTTTCGTTTTCCATATTTTTGCTGTTTGTGAGTACAGTGCTTTCTGAATGGTGCAAAATGTATGTAGTTAAACACTCAACTCAATGTTCTGTTTTTCTATGGCTCAAACTAAAGTATTCAAATGAGTGGTGTGTTGTTGCGGCAGGTGTCGGCGCTGGAGCAGCAGCTGGAGCGAACCCGGGCCTCTCTCCAGGACACTGCCCTCAGCCGGGAGCGGGACGTCCTGCAGAGAGACAAGAGCCTGGAGGAGCTGCAGCAGGAGAACACACAGATCAAACTCTCCGTCAGGTAAAAGCTGCTTTGTTTGTGACTCAGTGGAAATGTCAATGTCACAGTCATCACAGCAGAATAGAAAGAAATAAGAGCCACTTAGGTTATGCACACATAAAACCGGATCTATTGTTTAAGAAGACAAAATGATAGAATGATAGAAAGATGATTTAAATCTGGAGCCATAAGGCAAATCTTAAACCGCTGTCGAGAAATAGTAAGTAAGCTTTATTTATACAGCGCCTTTCACAGACCAAGGCCACAAAGCGCTTCACAGTTAAAACAGACAAAATACAATTAAAAATGTGCGGACAAAAAATAAAAATATAATGGCCAAGACAACTCAGGTTTGAAACAGCCGCAAGAAAATTATGTAAAAGCTTGCCCAAATGAATACGTTTTTAGCTGACCTTTGAATCAACCGACTCCATCAGCCGTAGAGAGAGCGGAAGATTGTTCCAGAGCTTAGGGGCAACAGCCAGGAAGGACCGGTCTCCCCTGGTCCGAAAGCGCGTGCGTGGGACCATCAACAGGTTCTGATCCACAGACCTCAGGGCCCGAGTGGGGGTGTAAGGCTGAATCCGATCGCTGATATAAGGGGGAGCCTGACCATGCAGAGCTCTGTACGTCAGCACCAATATTTTAAAATGTCTAAAATGAAGTCAAGGCAGCAGCGATTGCACTTGTTTTCCTTCAGATCAATAGAAAAGGAGACGAGGCTTTTTATATGATTCGTGCCAATGTGCGTAAGGACATAAGACGTCATCACTTGAGATATTAATTACTTTTGATATAGATTCTGTTGTAACAGTAACGTTCAGTTTCTCAGATATCAATGTTTAGCAGTAAAACAGATTTAACAGGGGTTTACAGTACAAAATATGCAGGTCAGATATCACACAGCCACAATTAGGCAAGGCAAGTTTATTTATATAGCACAATTCATACACAAGGCAATTCAAAAGTTCTGAAAAAAACAAGAAAGCATTAAAATCATAAATAATCACAGAACATTAAAAAGAAAGCTACAAGTATAAAATCCCTCAGTTGTATGCACAGCTAAACAGAACTGTCTTTAACCTGGTTTTAAACATTGTCAGAGAGGAGGCCTGTCTCACATCTTCAGGAAGATTGTTCCAGATTTTAGCAGCATGAATCTGAAAAGCAGCCTCCCCGTGTTTAGTCCTGACTCTGGGCACTAACAGGAGTCCAGTCCCTGTGCTCCTCAGAGTCCGGGCTGGTTCGTATGGTACTAACATGTCACTAATATATTTTGGTGCGAGGCCATGGTGAGACTTGTAACAAGCAGAGCTGTTTTAAAGTCTATTCTCTGAGCCACAGTAAGCCAGTGCAGAGACCTGAGAACTGGACTAATGTGGTCGTACTTCCTGGTTCTAGTCAGGACTCGAGCTGCTGCATTTTGAATGTACTGCAGCTGTTTTACAGCCTGTTTGGAGAGACCTGTGAGCAGGCCATTGCAGTAGTCTAACCTACTGGAGACAAATGCATGGATAAGAATCTCCAGGTCTGCTTTAGACACTATGTTTTTGATCCTGGCAATGTTTTTTAGATGGTAAATAGCTGCTGATGTTACTGATTTGATGTGGCTATTAAAATTTAAGTCTGAGTCCAGTATTACCCCTAGATTTCTGACCTTGTTTGAAGGTTTTAGGGAGAGAGACTGTAGGTGACAGATGACGCTCTCTTTGTTTCTGGGGACCAAAGACAATCATTTCAGTTTTGTCTACGTTTAGCTGAAGGAAGTTGTTTTGCATCCACTCACTGATCTGTTGGATACAGTGAAGGAGTGAGTCCACTGGTCCATGTTCTCCTGCAGTCAGTGAGACATAGATCTGAGTGTCGTCTGCATAGTTATGATAGGAAACTTCGTTTCTGCGTATTAACTGACCTAACGGCAGCATGTAGAGATTGAACAGAAGAGGTCCCAGGATCGACCCCTGTGGTACTCCACAGGTCAGGGCCATATGATCTGAGACACAGTTCCCAATGTCCACAAAGTACTTCCTGTCCTCAAGGTAAGACCTAAACCAACTTAGGGCGGTGCCAGCGACGCCAACCCAGTCCTCTAGTCTCTGTAAGAGGATCTCATGGTCGACAGTGTCAAAGGCAGCACTCAGATCTAACAAGATTAAGATTGAGACTTTGCTTGCGTCAGTGTTCAGCCGGATATCGTTTGTAACCTTAACAAGAGCAGTCTCAGTGCTGTGGTGGGGTCTAAAGCCCGACTGAAACATATCAAATGAGTTGTTGATTATAAGAAATCTAGTAAGCTGTAGGTAGAGAACTTTCTCAAGGACTTTCCCCATAAATGGCAGATGGGACGATAGTTGTTAAGTACCGTAGCATCCAGACTGCTCTTTTTTAGCAGGGGCCTGATGACTGCAGTTTTCAGGGCCTTTGGGAATATTCCAGAATGAAGGGACATGTTTACTATCTGTGTGAGTGAAGGTAACAGACTGCTCAGAACAGACTTCAGAAATCTAGTGGGTAGTACATCCAAGCTGCATGTGGAGGAGCTCAAACTGGAGATTATCTCTTGGACAGTTTTATCATTTACAGGTGCAAAGTGAGTTAGCTCAGAGAGCCTTTTTGGCTGTTGGATTGTTATCTGTGGATTGAAGACAATGGCGTTTTTGATGCCTTGAACCTTGTCATTGAAAAAATTAGCAAACTCATTGCATTTACAGTGCCTTGCGAAAGTATTCCTTTCAACATTTCGCCACATTTCAAGCTTCAAACATAAAGATATAAAAATTCAATTTTTTGTCAAGAATCAACAACAAGTGGGACACTATCGTGAAGTGGAACGAAATTTATTGGATGATTTAAACTTTTTTAACAAATAAAAAACTGAAAAGGGGGGCGTGCAATATTATTCGGCCCCCTTGCGCTAATACTTTGTAGCGCCACCTTTTGCTGCAATTACAGCTGCAAGTCGCTTGGGGTATGCCTCTATCAGTTTTGCACATCGAGAGACTGGAATTCTTGCCCATTCTTCCTTGCAAAACAGCTCGAGCTCAGTGAGGTTGGCTGGAGAGCGTTTGTGAACAGCAGTCTTCAGCTCTTTCCACAGATTCTCGATTGGATTCAGGTCTGGACTTTAACTTGGCCATTCTAACACCTGGATACGTCTATTTGTGAACCATTCCATTGTAGATTTGTCTTTATGTTTTGGATCCTTCTCCTGTTGGAAGATAAATCTCCGTCCCAGTCTCAGGTCTTTTGCAGACAGGTTTTCTTCCAGAATGGTCCTGTATTTGGCTCCATCCATCTTCCCATCAATTTTAGCCATCTTCCCTGTCCCTGCTGAAGAAAAGCAGGCCCAAAGCATGATGCTGCCACCACCATGTTTGACAGTGGGGATGGTGTGTTCAGGGTGATGAGCTGTGTTGCTTTTACACCAAACATATCGTTTTGCATTGTGGCCAAAAAGTTTGATTTTGGTTTAATCTGACCAGAGCACCTTCTTCCACATGTTTGGTGTGTCTCCCAGGTGGCTTGTGGCAAACTTTAAACCAGACTTTTTATAGATATCTTTGAGAAATGGCTTTCTTCTTGCCACTCTTCCATAAAGGCCAGATTTGTGCAGTGCACGACTGATTGTTGTCCTATGGACAGACTCTCCCACCTCAGCTGTCATCCAGAGTGATCATGGGCCTCTTGTCTGCATCTCTGATCAGTCTTCTCCTTGTTTGAGATGAAAGTTTGGAGGGACGGCCGGGTCTTGGTAGATTTGCAGTGGTCTGATATTCCTTCCATTTCAATATAATTGCTTGCACAGTGCCCCTTGAGATGTTTAAAGCTTAGGAAATCTTTTTGTATCCAAATCCGGCTTTAAACTTCTCCACAACAGTATCTCGGACCTGCCTGGTGTGTTCCTTTGTCTTCATGGTTCTCTCTGTCCTTTAAACAGAACCCTGAGACTATCAAAGAGCAGGTGCATTTATACGGAGACTTGATTACACACATGTGCATTCTATTTATCATCATCAGTCATTTAGTGTTGTCAGAATTCGCTACGCAGCAGCCCAGTGTGAGCCTCCTTTAGCACTGTGCGAGAAAAAGACGAGCAGTCCACACAGATTCATTTCACACAAGCAAGGTGCCATGGTTTATTTAGGGCGGGGTTAAATAAGGTCCGGCCGTGACGTCATCAATCAATAAACAAATAATGCATTCAGAGCATAACAGAAAATACAATACAATTAACACCCCCACTTGCTCTCAAATGTGTTAGCTTCCTTCACAACAGGAAATACGGAAACAAAAATACACACTGTCCACACTTTTAACCAAACAAAATGTTAGAGAACTTAAATAGCTTGTGCTGTGATGCTGGTTTTGTCATCACATCTGCCAACATCTCCTCTGTAGGACAATAGTGTAACGTCACTTTACCTTCATTTACAGTTGATCTTACAAAATGATATTTTATGTCAACGTGTTTGCACCTTTGCCTGCTCACTGGGTTTCTAGCTAAAGCAATAGCTCCTTGATTGTCCTCAAAGATTTTTGGTGGTATATCTATGGACATACCAAAACCTTCCAGTAGGTGAGTCAGGTGCAAACATTCCTGGACAGTTGCTGCTAATGCCATATACTCTGCTTCACAAGTAGATAATGCCACAGTCGGCTGCTTTTTGGATTTCCATGAAATAACAGGCCCCTTTTCTTTAAGACATATACAGTAACCTGTAGTGCTGCGTCTATCAAAGGAATCTGCTGCCCAGTCTGCATCACTGTAGGCACATATACACATATGGTCATTGTCATTATCATTTTTACTGTAACAGAGCTCCTTGTCCATTGTCTCTTTCAAATATCTAAGTACATGTTTAGCGGTCACCCATTGCTCCTCTGTGGGGTTTGTAAAGTATTGAGATAACCTGCTTACAACAAAGCTTAGATCTGGTCTTGTACATGTGGCAAGGTAAATCAGGCTCCCTACTGCCTCTCTGTACTTTTTAACATCACTTAAAACATTAGCATCAACAGAA